CTGATGTCCTTTGTGACAGCGCAAAACTCAACGCGGCGACCGAGACTGGTCGCACAAAACACACTTGGGTAGTGGTCAGTTCTGTTCACCATAGGACTAGTTGTTCCTGAGTGAGGATGAGGACTTGACGTTGAGGAACGTGAGCCTCTGGCAGGTTCCGAAGTACTAGAAGGCCTAGCCATGCTCCTCACACTGTCCGGTGGGGGCACAATGAGACTCAAAACACCTGTCCCTCCGCCACCGCGCTTGTTCTTCTCAGGAGACGAGAAGACTGCACTTGTCCCAACGACTCCTCGTTTTGCAGCAATTTGGTATTGATGAGTCGTGTTCTTGTCCGAGGATGAGCCGGCAAGCGAGAGCATGTTTTGAAGTGCTTCCATGAAGGCCAAGAGTAGTGCGTTCACTTCGTCGCGTGTGAAGGTGACACTGCGAAAAATGAGCGCTCGGCGTAGAGGAGGGCGCGCACCAAACGAAGCGAGCAAGCGCGCGCGCCAGACCTCGTATAAGCCCAAATATCGGTCTCGCGCCCGTTCCGAAAAAGGATCACAGACTAGCTGGTTGCCGTAGAAGAACAACTGTCGTGTTTCTGGCAGCGCAACGCGTAAACTTTGCAAAGCTTGTCGGATCTCGTTGAAGGGTTCGCAGGTGTCGGTCCCAGCAGAAGTAGGGTCTAAAGTAGCTTCTCTTCTATCCCCTTGAAGGATCGAATATGTAGTAGGTGGGCGTTCTAGTTCAAGTAGACGAGTGTTTCCCGCTTGAGGAACGAGAGGTCTACAGCCCATCTCTTGTGCCAGACTCACATCCAAAAGACCACTTCCGTCACAGTTCCACATAGAGAGGGACGCGCTGGCTGGCAACGGCGGCGGTGGCTCTTGCCTGCGCGTGCGATCATTGAAACGTCTCAATGAGGGTGGTAGTGGCTCTGCTCTCGATGCTCTTGGCAGTGGTTGTTGATCCTGGTCGTGTTCATGGTCTACCCCACGCCCAACGAAGACGCCTACTTCCTCATGATTGTAGCTCATCAAACTCCTCGTCTTGGGAATGAAAGCTTCTAAAGCTGCGAAGTTATCATCATCTCTGAGAACGTCCTCGGAGTTGTTCCTGTGGGGGTTGTCCGATCCACGAGTACTAGCGTTTCCTCCGACGCTGCGACCCAGCGGAGACGACGATCGCGAACGAGCGGCAACAGCGCGACTGGAGGAACCAGTTCTGGTTGCTGTTGCACAGGCCGTTGCGGCGGTCGCTGGTCGTGACCCTCCGCTTCTAGCGTGTACGCCTCTAGAGCGTACATTAGCACTAAGTAACCCTATCATGGCTTCCATCTTCAGACTCATCTTGAAGCGTTTCGCCTCTTTCCCTTGATAAATGTTTGGGATGCACAGTGGTCCCAAGTGAGATAGATAAACCTTGATAAATTATGTTTTAAACATCATACACAGTATTTGATAAAATGTAACAGACGCTTTTGGAGATGGATTAGAGGAAGTCTTAAGCACAGCAGCGACGACGAGAGTAACATCAGCATCTTCTGCACCACCAGTCAAGGATTTTTCGACTTGATGAAATTTCATCCCGGAGTCCCCAACTTTGTTACGGTTTGAAGATATCATCTGTGCTCTACTGAAGATAGTATCGTGATCTTCGCGATCCCCCAGCTGCACTAAGTTTAGCTCTCTGCCCAGATCATGAAGCGCATATTGCCATTTTTGAGGTAAGTCTTCATGTAGTAGTTCGGCCAATTCTTCTGGCGCTGGTGGCGGAAAGTGCTGCCCGCCACGGCGGCCGCGCTCGTCCCCGCTCATGAGCTCTTCCCGTTCTCGTATTTCCTGCATCCAAGAAGCTTCTAGTCTTCTGCCTTGAGTAAATCGCGAAGCTGGATTCAACTTGGCGCATACGCGAGACCACGCTGCGCCAACAAATTGTAGATTCAACGACCTCATGTTCTCACCAAAGGCCATTGCACCAGAAGATGAAGTTCCTTGTTGCTCGTACTGCACTAAGGTAGCATCGTATAATTGATCATTCGGAGATGTAGGACCTCCAGGCCCAGTAGTGGAACCGCTAAGGGAGTATTTTTCTAAGAGCAATGCCGCTAGTGTGCGATCCAAAACCTCCCGTCTGGCATGCACATACAGTTGTTGTAATTCTCGTTCTCCCATATTTAGTAGTACACGTGTGTTTTTAATCTCTTTGTCTTTTTTAGTATGTAGCAGAGAAGCAGAACCAGAAGATGCTGTGGCAGAGGATTGAGGTGGAAAAGTACTACTGGTGCCTTGTTGTGCTTGTGATGTACTCGCTTGTGATGTACTCGCTCGTGTACTCGTAGTATGAGGGCCCCTCTGGGCCTTGTCGTATAGTGTGCTTTTTTTTAAGGTTGTTTCCATCATAAAGTCACCTTGTTGTTCTTCACCGTCTTCATCGGCTTCTGTCAGAAGATCGCGCAACAATGACCGTCGCGAAAGGCTTTCTCTCACCCGGTCTAGAACTCGACTTTCTAGTGCGTTCGTTTGCTCGTCGTCCTTGATGGAGGGCATGTTATCGAGATAAAATCCGATACGACACTGCTCCTCCGCTTGCTCCCGGCAGCGGGACGCGTTGAGGATGCGATTGACGAAAAGTTCCGGGTCCTCCCCAAAGAAATGTACAAATAACGGTGGAATGTAGCTATGATTAGCTATGAAACGAAAATCTGTTATCATTATCAAGTTTCTTAAGTAGAAAAGTAGTACGATAATGAGAACAGATTTTGGTTTCATAAAAGTAGGTGCTGTAGTACGAGAAGGTGCCGAGGAAGCCTCTGAATGCTTGGCAGCTTCTTGTTGAGAAGTTGTTGTAGGTTGTACCGAAGCCTCTAACAGCTTGGTTGGTGCTGGATATGTTGGTCCCCGTTCAGCAGTGTAGCCAGTGCCAGCATCTGTGGAAGAAGAATAGCATTCTGGTATCTGCACGTCATAGAAGCCTCCAGCGCTGCCACCTCGACGACAACTCTCACTTGGTGTAAAGCCCCACACTGCGCAGTTGGGAACCCACTCGCCAGTAGCAGGATCTAGGACTGTCGCGCGCAGGGGTTGATCATGATGAGAAACGATTTGCTCATGGTATTCTTCAGGGGTGCGCTCCCAAAAGTCGGTTGAGTCGAAGTACGACAATCGGAGATGAAACGGAGATGAATCGGAAGAGGAAGTAGAAGTTTCCCATGCTGCATCAAGAATAGTGATGTTGCTGTTGACCCTAGTATCATTTCGACTTCCTTCGTCATTTCGATAATTTCCTAGAAAAATACAACTATTTGGATTTGCATTGTCGATCGTGTCAGGAAGATCGGGAAAGGCTCCGACCTGACGAGTACTTGCATGCGTGCTACAATCGTATGGAAAATTTTTCCTGAAGAATGCGATTCCACGATCGGCTAACATCTGCTCGATGGAGGCGGCTGCATACTGTTCTCGCCGTCTCGAGAGGTGGACTTGCCGTGGTTCCTCGCCTGGGAGATGATGAGAAGCCTTCATAACTTTCGGCCACACATCCTGAAACTCCCAACTCAGCCGAGTGCGCTTTTTAGAGGTAGGCTTTTGGTGTTCGTTTCTCCCGCTTGTTATGGCTGTCCCTCTTAGGAGAGCCATAACAAACGCTGTAACAAAAGCACCTTTATAGCCTACCCTTAAGCTTTGACAAAGCAGCAACTGCCCGACTCCTCGTGCCGCTCGCCCAAGGAGAAAGGAACCTGTTCTTGTGACTTGAGACCTGTTCTCGTCCTAGTTTTAGTCCTTGTCCTTGATGTTGTGCTGCACCATTTCCTGTCCAACTTAACGCTGCCCCTCCTGAACCTGGTCCTCTTCTCGCACCATTTCCTGCCGAACTTAAAAACGCTGCCCCTCCTGAACCTGGTCCTCTTCTCTGGTTTCCACTTATTAATCCCAGCAATCCTCTCGCAGTGTCTGGCGAAGAGACAGGCCTTTTTCCGGACGTCGGAGACAGAGAAACACTTTTCGTTTTCGTTCCTCCACCACCCGTCATGTTCCAATGAAGACTGCGACCACTCTCCGCTGTCTCGTCTGTCGGAGCAAGCAATATTAGAACTAGCAGAAATGCATCTTGGAGTGCATCTTGGTGCCCGTTTGCCCCTAAGAAACGGGACCAGGATGCGGGGGAAGATGGATTTTCTCAAGCCTTAACAATAGTAGCTTGTGTTAGAAGAGCTCTCCGTAACCGTAGTTCATATTTCATCTCCAGTAAGTTTCCTTGAACAAGAGGATGGCACGAGACCACTACTCGCCCATCTTACTTTCAAAGGATGCGCCAAAAGATGAATTATGATTATCTATAATAGCCTTAATTGTAGTTACTCCGAGCCCGAGGACCGATGGCGCCGCTAGCCGTGGCAGGACGGGTAACCAGTCGAATTCGACCTGCAGAGGCAGGTCGTGAGGAACCGCCACGCTTTTGTTCCGGAGACATTTTTGTAGTAGTAGGCGAGGCCACTATTTTCTTCTAAAACTGCAACTATGCAATCATATAATGCCGTATAGAAGTAGCACTAGCAGAAGTAGAAGTAGTAGTAGAGGTAGTATGATCTTGTAGTTGATGATGTAGATAGTTGTTAACTCAAAAAAACGATGGCTCTACTCATCTCGTCTTGCTCATTCTTCTATATTAATTTGATCCATCACTTTTAACATGGATGCCATGCCTGTATTTACGCATACTGCGGGGATTCCGCTTCATCATATCTTATAAATATATACACAGGAGTAACGTTAAGTAAAGCAGAAGGAGAAGTAGTTAAGGATCTCTCACACCAGGTCCAGGCTCACTCGTGCTTCTAATCCTCGCGGGATGACAGTAAACTCTCGCTTTTTCTCTCATACGACCACTGCTTGTTCTCGAAGAAAAATGGGACAAAATCATTCCGCTCTTCATCTTGTTTTCTTTACATTCATCGCGCCACACCTAATGGAATCGTCCTCGGCGAGCACCGCGTGATGGCGCTGAACCTCCTTCTTGTAGTGCTCTAACACGTATGAATGAATGAATGAATGAATGAATGAATGTACCCACTCCAGGGGTATAGAAGATTTCCTCACTACTACTTTTTGCATGTCGCCTCATAGCAGTTAAGTCGCACTCTGCATGGTAAAGAAGTTGCGAAAAGTCTTAGTGTCTGGCCATGGAATCCACCACGAGCGAGACCAAGCAGGGGTTGCGCATCTTGTTTTTCATCGAGTAGAAGAAGAAGGTCCACTATTTTTCTGTACCTTGTACTTGAGGTTTGCCCTTATGATGGAAGCACCTAGGTTATAATTCTACTTCCTCTTCTAGCTCTAAAATTCCACTATGCGAATAGCCCTCCCCCTATCTGGCATATTACGCTGGTTCTCGTGGTGCTTGTGCTACTTCGTCGAAATTGTTGTCCCCCAAATTTCAATTTGTAAAAGTCGTTATATTTGAAAGTGTAGCTTTAGTACGAGGAGCGAGGACCTGAAGCAACCCTCACATGTAAGATCGACTGCTGCTGTAGATAGGTTAGGTATGGGACCTGCACATCGAGCCCCATGTTGTAAGATCATCATTCAACTACATAAAAATTATATTCTCCTTAGTTATTACCCTTACATAAAAATTTTGAAATTACGTTCTTCGACGTTATCGGTCGTCTTCGTTTCAACAACCATTTATGCGTTACAGTTACTAGTATCGTGTAACAAGTGTATGATCCAATGCTGGTAATTGGTGTGATGTAGCTAGTTAGGTTCATGATGTTGTGCTCCTGCTGGTTCTTCCGTAGTAATTGTAAAAGTATAGTGATCGTTTGACTCATGATTTGCTTACCTGTTTATTTTTAGTTTTTTGAAATTTTTGTTTTTGAAAGCAACCAACAAGACCTGCAGCTTTTACTCTCCTCGCAAATGCTGAGTACTTTGCGAGTACTTGGCGACCGCCTTCGTTCCATCTTGAATCGCGTGCTTGCACAAGTCACCTGGTCATTTGAAACCACCGGGATTAGTCGTTGTTCTTCAGTACACCACAATATAATTTACAATGTTCTTAGACTTACAACAGTTGTACTAGTACAACTATGTCTACTAGTATGAAACGAAAAAGTGCACTCACACTCAAGAAATTGGCTAGGATTTAAGTAGGAAAATAGCCACTTTTTTTGAGTGTGAGTGCAATTTTTTCTTTCATAACTAGTACACTACTCTTCTACTTCTACTAGTACTTACACTTCTATAAATTAAGAGGAGGTTGTAGGATACCAGGAAGCACAAGTCGCGCAGCAGTCTGCACTTCCATGCTCGTGAGGGTCTTCTTGTTGTTGATGCGAAGGAGCTTGATGGCTTCGCGGGAGAGGCGGTCGAAGAGATCGTGTGCGAAAGAATCCAACACCACCATAGCCTTCGAACTAAGCGTGCAGTTGTCGTCATGGACAGACTTCAAGACCTTATGAATGTAACTGTTCCAGCTCTCGCGAGTGGCTGCGCGCTTCTTACCCTTGCCTCCAGTCTTCTTCACCGGCTGTAGTTTGGTATGAGTGGGCGAGTGAGTGAGTGAGTGAGTGAGTGAGTGAGTGAGTGAGTGAGTGAGTGAGTGAGTGAGTGAGTGAGTGAGTGAGTGAGTGAAGAACCAGTAGCAGTACCAGATGAAGCAGAGTTAATATTGTGAAGACTTCTTGTACTATGAATTAATATAAACATGTGCTGCCTCTACTAGGTTGTAATTCGATACCTTGATATTGATAATTAAAGATGTACCACCTCTTCTATTTGTAATTCGATACCTTGATATTGATAATTAAACATGTACCACCTCTTCTATTTGTAATTCGATACCTTGATATTGATAATTAAACATGTACCACCTCTTCTATTTGTAATTCGATACCTTGATAATTTAACATGTACCTCTTCTAGTTGTGATTCTGTACCTTGATAACTTTCTCCTTTTTAGGTGCTTTTTCCTTTTGATCCTTCAGTTTGTACTTGTCCTTAGGCATTTTCATATCCTTGGCATCCTTCTCGCTTTTGTCCATCTTGAAAGCCTTCATATCCTTCATTCCCTTGTCATCTTTTGCGTCCTTCATGTCCTTCATCTCGCTGTCCATGTCCTTCTCGGCAACATCTTTAGTCGGCGTCATAGCCTTGTCGTTCCCCTCCTCGCCTGCCTTCAAGGCCTCAAAAGCATCAACGGCCTCCATTTTGTTTATTTAGTTTAGTGATGTAGTTGTACTAGGTGAAGAAAGTACTAGTTCAACTATTTAGTATTTATGTTGTAGGTCTTCTTATGTAGGTCTTCGTCTTTTAGAAGAACAACGGGAGTCAGTAGTGGAGGTCTGGTAGGTCGTAGAAAATAAGTTGAAATTACGACAATTTTTATCTTCAGTAGATACAACTATGTGCAAGTAGAGGAATCAGCTTGATGTTTACTGATCCACCAATTTGTAGACAGAGGAATAACAGAAAACGGTTACTTCTATGATCTTTTCCTGTTAGTTGTATTCTGGGGACCAGCATCGAGATTCATTAATTCTCCGTGGAACAATCGATGCACTCTGCTCCATCCAATGAACAACTGGATCTGTCAAACGTCGGATGCAAAAATAAAGGATCATGTGATCTGTGCAATTCCAGTTCTCTGTGTTGGTCGAGTTAGATGATCTTCTACATGCACCTCCCAACATCTCTAGTTGTCGGTGGTAACTGGTCTGTAAAGTTTGTAGAGCAACATTGTAGATACGCCCATCCAAGGATCACATAAAATTCGCAGATCTGGTGCTGGTGGATTTGTTTCAAGTATTTGTTTGTTGGCAGAGAGAAACAGAGAGTAAGAATCATTTGTTTGGCAGTTGTATGTTTTTGAAGTATTTGTCTGAGTAAGAAAAAGAATCATTTTCTTTTGTTCTTTGACATCTTCTCGCAGATGTTAGCAGCAATCATCCTCACCATGGCGTCTCAAATGCTAGCTCTTCTACTAGTTGGGTACTTATGATTCAGGAAATTCATGGCCTCAATACCTGCAATGGTACGTGGTGCATTGCCAGTCTGGTGTAGTTTTTGATAGTACTGGAAGACAATCTCAATCGGCGATATGTTTGGGTGACTATGGGAGAGTGAGAGAAATGGGACAATCGCAATCAGAGATATGTTTGTGAGAATGACTATGGGAGAGTGAGAGAAATGGGAGAGAGGAGAGGATTGTTCCAGAGACTATGGATGTGTGTAGTCGAAGAGAGGAGTGGCGCGATTGCAGGATCTTTTTCTATTGGAACGGAAGCAAGCACAATTAAACCCCATGAGTGGTCCTCTACTGTGATGAATGACTGATAAGCGATGAATGGTCCACCTCTACTGTGATACCGGCAGTAAGAAAGATGAGAGAGTAAAAAGAGGAGCGAGAGACACTCCATTCTCACCTGGCATGCAGGGCACTGAAGAGGAAAAGAAGAAGTGTCAATTTATTGTGAATCAAAAATATTGCTATTGGTAAAACCGTAGGGATTAAACGACACCGGACGATGAGTACCATCGTCGGTCGGGTGGATTAGAGAAGTAGTGGTGGGCCCGATCTTGGGATATAAATTGCAGCTTTACTTCGACCACATCTGGTTCATGCTGTGGTTGATAATGAGAGGCATATCTATGGATATGGATCGACAAAGACAGTCATTCTCAGAGAAAAGCGATGGCGGTGAAAGATAACGCCAAATAGCTTCATCATTAATGAGTCTGAGATTGAGTTTTTGAGTAGCCCAAAATGAAAATTTTAAATCTTACTAAGCTGGACAATATGATGTTGATGGTGATGCCAGTATATTCGATGGCTCTTCGTGGCTCCCTGTTGAACGATGAAGGGGGGGGAGCGAGACGAAGGAGAACTAGAGATGACAACTTCTAGTAGACCATGCGCCAAGTTACTTGAATGAACTCCGATCTACATCTGATCCTGAAAGAGGGACATGATGCTCAAGGCTACGGTGTGTTTAGTTAAACCCTAAGATGACAACTGATGGCTTCATCAATCCCGCTAGGTACTTCACAATTCACTCCGAAATTACGACCAACTGTCATCCTTGCCATAATCCGGAGTGTGTCTATAGCACCCGCTTCCTGGTTGTCAATGGGTTGTTTGCTAGTTTGGATAATTTGCGGAGTCGTGTAGGTAGCCCGAATGGTCTATCGTACGGAAGGGCTCAGGCACCAGAACAGGTCCGATATTGTACTTATCTTGCCAATGATCGAAAGGTGCGCCAAATGCCAGGGGCAAATCGTTCATGAGTGCGGCGGTCACCAGCCCTTGCTCTCATGCGTCGGTCGCGTTACTTTGATTTTGGTCTCGAACAGGACCACTCTTGTTCTTTTCGTTTCCTACCGGATCAATTCGACTGCGTTGGTTCTCGTCGTTCTGCTTTTCTTGATGCGCATGAACATGGTGCTCTGTGTTTCTTGATTCCCAAAGCAGGTCTTTCGAGTTCGTCGCGCCGCACACGGTCCTCGTTGCCAATGCTCCCTCGAGAGCAAGCGATGGTCGGGTAACTTGACCCATGTTTACTAGGCTACTGAAATAAAACACGGAGTAACTGATCAAAAAAGAACATGTTTACACACTAGGATCGTCAACAAAAATGACAGGTGGTGCATTGAAAAACGCAGACAAGCACGTATCTGGAGGGTGGAACGGAAGATAGTTGGGGAAATTATTTTCTGTGGAAAACTAACGACTGCTATGCCCATCAGTCTATCAGGGGTGAAGGGACGCAGAAAGGTACTTAAGGATGCATAACAATCATCCCATTTTGACTGAAGCGTCACGTTATCCTTACATTGCAGAACTTCGGGAGCATACTCTTATTGTCTCGTTTGCTGCACGTCTAATCTCTTTGCTCGCTACCGAGTGACCGAACGCATACGTTGATTCCGATATTGCTTCTCCCGGTGTGCAGTTATATCGAAGATTGAGGTTTATTCTATAAATATCACCTGAATCAGGCTCACAGGACCGAATAATACGAGCTACGCGACCGCGCCACTGGACGCCGCCCTTGGTGACATGACAATTTATAATTTATAATGTTATTATTCTTGTGCTCATCCTGTGATATCAGCTCATCGCCTTATCGACCGACAACATTGGACAACAGAGCAACCTGACAGACACCATATTTGATAGATCCTGGGCGCTTCGCGGCACGGAGATCATCCGAACACTGTAAGCCAGAAAATGCACGTGCGCGCGTTCCATTACTAGGGTTTGGCGCATTTCGTGCTTGCCAATCGATGTTTTTTTATGCTCCTTCTTTTCAGATTTCTTCTTTTTTTCTTTTCCTCTGTTTTTCTTCCGTCTCTTTTTTCTTTAGAGGAGCTGCTTTTCCTTTTGTCGTTTGTTCTCTCAGCACGGTGCCGTTGAAAAGTAGAGTGCTCCATAGATTTTCGTGTTTGTATTCATATTTTCCTTGAAAAGAAGGACTTCCCGAGAGCACCAGTGCAGAAGAAGAAATCGTTGAAGAAAGATACAAAATGCATGGATGCTATGCAAGTGCGTGCGCACGACCGCCAGAGGTCAAAGCCTGCACGGCCCAAAGAAAACTACCACGAGCCAGCCTTCTTTGCCTTCTTGTCGGTCCTGATCTATAGCTAACTCGGACAAATCATGCAAAACAACAAAACTAGGGTGTGAGCGCTAGTTTTGAAGGCTCTACTCAACGCAGTGTGTCTGTGTGGAAGGACAGCGGTACTCCTCGTAATTGCAGCACATGTTGTTGTTGCACAAATGTCGACCAGCCAAAATCATCTGCGTAGCAGCTGTGTTCCTCCAAAACTACTAGCGTTGATGTAGTTGTACTACTTACTTACAGTCTAGCGTCTTCGTAACTAAAACTATGTTGTCCTAGAATCTCCTAATCTTCACCTGTAAGTGTAAACCCTGACGAATGATACGAATGATGTTTTTCATCTGTTGAAACCTATCCGAAAGTAAACTCTTGTGGCTATCGTCGCATGACTTGTTGCCGCCCAGCTCGTCGCTAGTCCTTACGACGTACAACTACAACATACCCTGTCGTGCAGCTTCTACAACTTCTAGGTTGTACTTATCTTTTGCGACGCATTCATGTCGACGACGCACTACTAGCTGTACTAATCCTGACTAAATAATGACTTGATCTGTGAACATCCTTTTCCGAATCTACGGTTCATCTACTAGAAATAATGTGATGTCTGCGCATCGATGCCAGTGGTGAGTAGACCGCCTCCCAGTGAACGGCTTGCCCATTTCTACTCTCCATCCTCTTAATACCCCCAGCAACGACCACCATGATGATCATGATATCTATACAACTCGTCTACCTCTTCTACAACGACCTCCGTTTACTTCTACGACCGGTAAAGTGACTCGACGCAGGACTACTTCCTGCCGCCAAGAAAATCAACCAAGAACTAGTAAACGTGGTAAGCCTATAAAGGAAAACGTTTAAAACGTCCTGCACAGTGAGTGTGACAGGAACGACTTACTTGTCCATCATGGCGGCGGAGTAGATGGCCATGCCGAAGGCACCCTTGTTGACCAAATCGGCAATGTTGTACACGATGTTGATCACGCTCTGGCTGTGGTATCCGTACAAGTACGGGGTGTTGCCTGGCGCTCCCGGGGCGATCAGGTAGGTCACGTAGTACCTTGTTTATAGAGGAGTTCTCCTGTCAGAAGATGATGGCCAAGAAGAACAAGAATTGCGATTGTTACAAGATGAAAGACAAAAAAAAAATACCCGATGGGGTAGATGGACCAGCCGAGTAGAATTGCGATTCTGTCCTCTAGATTTGTGTATAAGTATTGTTGACATTTGAGATCTTCCTACAGAAAGAGGAATACATTGCTTACAAGATGAAAGACAAAAAAAAAATACCCGATGGGATAGATGGACCAGCCGACAGAGACGATGAGACGGAGGGTGTTGAAAGCGCTCTTCTGGGCCATATTTGTGCTCTTGGCGGAGATCTGGGACGCCTCTCCGAGGAAGACCTTTCGAGTTAGTTTTTACATCTCCGGATCATTCTTTGGAAAATATTAATTCTTCTACGAGGACATCGATTATATATTTGAGCTCATGATTCAATTTGGACATGGACTGCATCTTCTACTTCTGCCTAACAAGAAAATCTAGTAGAGGAGAGAACTACTCACTGTAACGTGTCTTCAAGAAGAATCAATACTCATGATGCGAATCAAGTACCTCGTAGATGATGTAGAGCCAAGTGGCGCATCCCGGGACGAATCCGCAGAGGACGGAGATGCAGCCAGCCTCACCGAGCCATCCGAAGAGGAGCATGGCAACAGCCGATCCCATAAGCTTGTAGAAGAGCATCACGTTGACATCCATGACGGCAGCCAAGATCAGATAGAATTCGCAGATCTGAATAATGTTGATACGGCATTATAGGTTTAGCAGGTACTCAGAAAATATCAAGAGTCTTGAGTCCTCGACATGACTATTCTAAAAAATCTAAAGATCGATTGTTGATGGAGAGTTGTCCCGGACTTGAGTAGAAGTGGGCAAACGTGAGGACAGTATGCTGACACTGACTCGAAACCGAAAATCATACTTTTTCATTCATCTTGATATAGAAGTTGCAAGTACCTGGAGCGGGACGGTGATGAGCCAATCGGTATATCGGTAGGCCGTCGGGGACTGCTGAGTGACGGACCAGGTGCTCTTCATGTAGACGTAGTTCCAGAATGCAACGCCGCACACCAATGCTGCGACGCACACACTGCGCTTCCACTCTGTTTTTATTTTGTTGTATTGAAGAATAAGAATTTGAATCGAACAAGAAGATTTCTCGTCATGGAAGGAACTTGAGTCACATTTTGAATGGACAAACAAAGATTTCCTGCTCTTAAAAGAATTGCGTTGCTTCTAACAGTTCATCACAACCATCTACTAGTGGAGGATACGCTTTGGGACTTCGTTCATCTCGATGAGGAAGAAGACGGTGAAGGCAAGCATCGCGTTGCACGCAATCCAGAAGGTCGTTCCGACCACATCGTGGGACCCAAGAGCCTCGTTATCGGCAAGAGCCTGGACGATGGATGGAAATGAAAAATTTCTTCAGGAAGAGAGAAAATCTAAATGTAGGGTGTATGAAGATGTAGATGTAGATGTAGATCATATCACAATGAACATTTTTCTAAATTTTTCAGGAAAGATGATCTAAATGAGCGAACTATGTTATCTTCAGGTTTTAAAAACATATTTCCTCCTCCATCGCTCATGATTTTTACAGGTTTTTTCATTCTTGGATACAAAAACGAATGCTAAAAAATACCTGGACGATCGGGATTCCTGTGCGAGAGAGCGGGAACCCGTACGGGTTGTAAGTGATCGGCTGTCCCGGGTACATGTAGGGGTAGCCCTGGTCGATGAAGTGCGAGTCGTGGAGGACCTGTGCTGCCACTGGGGTCTCGAGTCCCTTGATAACATCGCTCTTCGAGACACCTTCCTGCTGCATAGCCTGAAGATAAAGAGGGTTGGAGAGTAATCCGTAAAAATTAAATAAGAATAGATCTTCATTGCTAGTATATGTTATAAATCTGAGTAAAACAAGTGTTGACAAGAGGAGATCCTGCTCGAGGTATGGAGGAGATGTAATGTAGATATTCATGATCAGGTCAAATTTCATTTTGTCTTTGTACTTATGTAGTAGCAGAGTTGTAAAGAAGATATTTGTATGTTGATCATGTTGACGTCTTCAAGGAGGATGTAACTACTTCTGCTTCGTCGTTGAATGGGTTTGCCTTCCTCATAAAGAAGAAAAGTGGATGAACATGGAGGCTCCCTCACATTAAGAAGCAGGCCATAAGGTATCTCTCTTAATATGGAGGTGAACATGCAAGAAATGGTTTAGACCTTGGTCAGGCCCCCGACGACTGCGGCTGCCTGTTCGGCGTTGAGGCCGCCCTTGGCAGCATCGATGATCTCGGTCTTGGACATACCGGAATCCTTCACTGTCTTCTCAAGGACCGGGGCGACCTCGGGAGCCATAGCCTTGATGCCCTCAATGTGCGACAATTCCTGTGTGATTTGTAATTCATTGGATTTGTTTATTACTTTTGACAGAATCATATATATTGAAGAAATGGTCCAATCATATGGACGAAGCAAACGTCATGCGGTTGACACAGTACACTATAATCAAGGAGATCCATGCTAAAATATAACTACAATGACATCAATGAAGCTTTGACGGAAGAAAACTCCTACAACAAAGCATTTGTATTAGTTATAGTGATCATTATAGTTGAAGTACCGCACCAGCGACCGGAAGAACATCGTTCACGAAGGCAACCGTGACATCGGACTTTTTGTCAGCCTTGTCGTCGGCGACAACTGCCGCGATCAACGCAGCGAGCGCGAGCTTCATTTTCACGACTCTCAACAAATACAATTATTTACTTAGTACCTTGTTGCGTATTCTACAACTTCCTGGCGAGGGCCTTCAGATAATTGGAAAACAAGCAGTTAACAAGCAGTTCTTCACCTTTTAACTTCTGAAAAAGATGTACTTACAACAATCATTACTTGTTCATATTTAATTGGTTGACCGGAAGGAAAAAAAAGAGTCTCCTTTACAGTCTTAGTGAACAACTGGATAAAACAAGATTACCGTCGGTTGTATCATGTGATGTGTGAATTTTAAAGGCTACATCGACACACCTGTCATACATAAACAACTCATGCTCTAATACTTTACAAAAAAAACTACACATACAGCGAGCTATTTCTCGGCCGCTGCACGATTCGGAAAAAAAGCAACGGGGGAAGGAAAAAATGACCGAAATGGCCCATGGTGAGACATTCATTGATTAATGGAATTATGTTGAAGAGAGAAAAAAAGTCATCAACATGCATGCTAGGTGTACTCCTCTCAATGCTAGAAAACTCTCGTGTACTTCTCCTCACAACAGAAAGCCGCGCCAATGTCATCTCACATAATCTCGTGAATTAGGAACCTTTTACCCCTTTCTCTCTACCTCTCCAGCTCCACTTTCTAAAAATTTCTGTCGCTGTCCTCATGAATCAAATAAAGATTTTCTTTCGCTCTTTGAAAAACATGATTACCGACACGTGGTTGTGACAAGGCTCCTGTCTCTTCTGCAACGTCTGCAAGTGACATTTTGTTTCTCTACAACCATGCCTCTCAGCTTCGCAACCATCAGAACTGACCTGCACTCGAGCTGCAAGTGGGACGCGCTATCCTCTTGCTAGTTTAGCAAAGCTTTTAGAAAATTTAGAATTTTTAGAAAAAATTGGAATAGATCACAATCGCCGACGCTTTGGCCATACATTTTACATTTCATTATTCTTGTTCATTCTGCGTGGCCAATTATAATCCGCAATGCACTATGCACACGTCGCGTCTCTATTCGTATTCTATGTCGCCAGAATGAAAGTCTCGTACTAGTACTCCATCTGCACGGCACGAAGATTGCGGTCATCAAAAATATCAACAAAAGAGTGTCCGCAAAACGAACCCGCGAAGGGGCGTCACGATCGCAGTCGATCGCTTCCCTCCCTTCTCATCCTATGGATGCGTCGTATGCTCGCTCTCCGCTATCTTCTGTATTCCGAAAATCTAAACGATATCAGGATGTTGACCATCTCAAATTGTAAAATCGAGATACAGCTTGACGCTGGTTCTTCGCAGTTCGTTATTCTCGTCTCGACCGTGAGATGCAACGGGCGCCACGGAACGTAATATAGCGCTGACTTCCGATCTTCATGTCATGTCATGGAACCTCGTTTTACGTTATTCGAAGCCGAACGTTTTTGAGGCCTTTTACTATTACTTGGAATCCTTCGTGACAACGACTTGTCTGCTTCAAAATCGGACTCCAGTTCGAACATTGCTAAAATCCGGATCATCATCAGGTTTCGTCACGCCTAGTTGTATTCTCAGCACTTCACAAGTCGCACTTCGATACGTGCTGGCACAAGAGATTTCCTGCATGCTGTAGTGTAGACTCCGCAGAAGAGTCTCTCCTGACGAAGAGAGGACCGACCACGTGTGAGCTCTATGCGAAACCAGCCACCGTGCGTGAGTCTGCGGAGAACGTAGCGACTTTCGCTCAATGAGCTTCAACCTGAGAAAGACACACTTCTTCTTACAGACGAGGATGGTCTCGAGATGCCCAGTCTCTTCGTCTTTAGACCTGCTTGTCTTTAGATTTTTTAGATTATTTAGAAAGGTATCATCAAGATGCATGTCTTCAGTATCATCTCACATGGTGAAGAAAGAACAGATAACAGAACTTCACTCCCAATAACTAAGCAAGTCTTCTATCCTATCTTCGAAAATACCATTTACAGTTTCCGTCATTCTGCTCGGCTAATGCTACATAGCAGCTGCTCCGTTCCAACCTAAAAGCAGAGGTTTCGTCGGGCGGAGCAGGCGCTTGAGAAGATACTACGCAGTCCATTCGCCGTCGAATGCTTGACAAGATACTTCAAGCAGTGTACCGAGGTCGTCCGCTCGACGCCGAATGTTTGACAAGATACTTGAAGCATCTTGCTGTCAAGGTGCGCAGTCCGCTCGACGTCGGTCGCAAATTTAGCCTTTGGGATTTTTTCTTTAGATTATTTAGAATTGCATATCAAAATATCATTAAAAAGTGACTGAAGGTGGTCGTATGAGATGTTTGGTTTCATCAACAGGAGCTACATATAGATACATATACCAGTATTTCGTAGTCTTGTGGAAAAAGCGTTTCTCTCAAAAAAATCTAAATCGCTTTCGCTTCTTTCAAATCGATATCCATTACCATTTTCCAACAAGCTCAGGCTTGCCACCTCGCGATGCTTTTGCTTCCTGGGGACGCTCCTCCAAGCAAGTAGATGAGAGGCAGAGGAAGGGGTCCGCTCGCAGAGTACAATGGCTGCACAGCTCAAGACGCTAAAAGAGCTCGCTAACGACCCTAAGGTGCTGCTGTGGAACGATGAAAGGGATCTGCGCGTGGCCGCACCTCCCATACGGGAGTCATCCTCCGCTCGAACCAACATCAAGCCAAAGAACCACCTCCTGTAACCAGATGAAGAGACCAAGAATCTCAATGTCGGACCACAGCTGAAAAAGTTGCCGGTTTAGCACTGATGCCGTGCGCTGGGAAAGTGCCAAACCACCACGATCAGGTTGTATGACGCGAGGCACATATTTTCTCCTCCTCTGCTGCGCAGGAATGAAGCCGGGTGGCCGAAAGCTGCTAAACCTTTTGCACATCATGGTGCACGACTAAGCGCATGTGACTGTTGACGCTCGCCGCGGATGAGTGGTCCTAATAAAGAGGACTTGAGTGCTGCTGCGAAGATCATTTTCTACAAAGACATCAAGGAATGTCTTCCTGCACATGCGTTCCGAGTCCCGCATTTTCCTGATCACGGTAGCGAGAGTGTCAACATCGCATACGTTGACTGCATTTTTTTTAGATCTTTTAGATTTATGAAGGGTTCGCAGTTATCATAAACTCTTAGTGTCGCGTTTTCCTGAATACTTATCGTTATATTTATTCATTAGATACCAAGACCAACAGTTGCAGCTTGCTCGTACACTTATTCAGCACCAGGATGATATCTGTAAGATTTAGATCATTCGTAACACCGTCAGTGCTCTCGCTGCGTTGATCAAGATCACGAAGCTTCTAGACATTACGGCCCCAACATGATGCATGATGAGCATCGCAGTTAGCTTTTCATCTAAACATGTCCAGGATCGTCTGTGAACACGTGGGCTTAAAAGAAAAAACTGGTAAGCCGAGCGGTTTTGAGGCAGTTTCAGCGCCTCCTCCACAGCACAAGCTGCTCACCTTTTGTTTTTGGTTTGTCTAGAAAGTACATGAGTGAGTTGACGACGTCGTAGAAATTATCTCCTAGGTTCATAGTATCTATTTCTATACAATCAGAGAGCATATAGAATATCTTCAGTTGTCTCATCAAGTATGTGAAACCGTGGATCCCTGTACAACATGAATAGGGTTCTTGGTGGAAAAAACGTACTTATGTCAATGTCTCCATGGTCCTTCAGACATCAGGAACAGCGGTCGCGCATAGACTTACATCTGCTGTCACCAGCAGTCCACAGATGAAGTCCAGATGTGGAAGAAACATTCCAACCTCTCACCTCATGGAGTTTTCAAAACGTCTCGCTACCAGCCTCCTCCAGCGTTCGACTCGGCAGTACTCGCTGCCTGGGCCTGGCTGCTGACTGGCATTCTCGAATCTCTGCACCTACTACTGAAGAAGAAGCATCATTTCTGCCAAACGTCAAATCTGGCTGATCATCATCGACACTAAGCTCGTCCTTACTGCTGTCAGCTGCGAGCTTCTTGAGGTTCTTAGCGTGACACGCGCGCTTCTTCACTGCAGATAATCGCGCTGCGCCTTCGTGGTCAGCGGTGGTCTCGTTGCTTCTTGATGCAGTAGACGAGGACTCATGCTCAGCGTCGCTGCGAGAATGATGATCATCATCCGCACGTTCGAAGTAGAACAAGAAAGGGTTGTCCTTCGAACTTGTCGAGCCGTAGTTCTTGTTGTGATGCTGCTCGTCATGATCTCCTGCACCGTTTTCGAGAGAACTACCAGCAACGGCGCTACCTGCGCCGCGAGGAGGTGTAGCAGCAGCAGCAGCAGCCGCTGCGTACCGATAGAAGAAGAAGTAAATTAACACTAGTATGAACAAGGTGAAGCCAGTGGCTGCAACACCATGCCAAACCCACTCGGATGCAGCTAGTTCTACTGGATGAAGATCTGTGAAGGCAGAGTCGCTGGTCGTACTCGGTGTGTCAACCTGAGCACGAGGATAGAGTTTGAAGCTCGGGAGCTCGAGCTCCGTGCCTCTCCGTAGGGTTACAGTAGTTCTTTGCATTTTTTTAGAGAGCACAAGCACTTTGCGCGAAGGCCAGGACTTCACCAGACCAGCGCACTAGGCGGACAGTGGGTGTGAATGCTGAGGCCACATACAACCCGCTATGCTGATGATAAGTACCAGCGCAAGCCTCCGCCCCAAAGCGAAGTGTGGAGACTAGAAAGCGCAGGTTTGAGCGTGGTGAAGGGGAAAGGTAGAAGAAGAAAAAGTAGCATAGATGAAAACGAAAAGCTTTCCTCAAATGCCATAATTCCTGATCTCCATCGCCACCACCATGTTCGGCGCCTGGAGGATGGGTCCCAGTCCCCCGACCTTCTGTATCCGCCAATCTTACTTCGTCGCTCAAAGATTACTTCATCCTGCGCAAAGCGCTGCCCCCGGATCATTCGGACGTGCGAAACGCAGATCACCGAAACTATCGGGTAGGGCCATTCATTCTGGGGTGGCTTGTTGTTGATGAACGCGGAAACTATAAAGCTTGACTTGGCTTGATGTACCCAATGATTAGGTAGAAACTATAAAGCTGAGAAGCTGGCCCACTTTGTGGCGCTGGCGCCATAAACTGTATACCCGAACTACTTCAGTAGAAAAATGAAACCCGCACGAGCGCATGCATGTTGTTGCTGCTCGTCAGTCATGTGCCTGACCTCAGTGGTTCACCCTCTCGGCCTTCTTCTGTTGTTCTGAACTTCCTTGATCAAGATCCCCCGGGGCTTCCTGCTCTTGTTCATTTTCATTACCATAAAGGAGGGCAGGGGGACACCCGTAAGGGTCAGCGAACGCCCCCCGCGGTCCTACATATGACGTCACGCCTTCCCCCCCGGTATACTACTGAGAGCTTGCCCCATCTTGGTTCGAGCGTCACGCGAATAGCGTGACGCTTTTGTTGCATGCACCCTACAGACTTACTAGAGACAAGGCGCCACGCTTTTCGCGTGACGCTCAGGAAAGGGCCGGCAGATGAAGGCCCCGTCTTCAGATCGTGAGGACCTTCGGGCCCTCAGCTGAAGCCCTTCCGATCATGAGGACCCTCAAGGGAGAACCCTCACTCTGAGAGGGCCCGCCGATGAAGCGCCTCCGACCATGGGAGAGGACCTGCAAGGGAGAGCCCTCACGCTGAGAGGGCTCCCAGATGAAGTCCTTCCGATCGTGAGGACCTTCAAGGGAGGGCCATCAATCTGAATAGAGGACACCAAGCGGAAGTCTTTCCGATCATGCGGACCCTCAAGGGAGAACCCTCACTCTGAGAGGGCCCCCGGGTGAAGCTCTTCCGATCATGAGAGAGGACCTTCAAGGGGGAGCCCTCACTCTGAGAGGGCTCCCAGATGAAGTCCTTCCGATCGTGAGGACCTTCAAGGGAGGGCCCTTAATCTGAATAGAGGACACCGGGCTGAAGTCTTTCCGATCATGAGGGCCCTCAACGGAGAGCCCTCACTCTGAGAGGGCTCCCCGATGAAGTCTCTCCGATCATGAGAGAGGACCCCCAAGGGAGAACCCTCCCTCTGAGAGGGCTCCCAGATGAAGTCCTTCCGATCGTGAGGACCTTCAAGGGGGAGCCCACAATCTGAATAGAGGGCACCCGGCTGAAGCCTTCCCGATCATGAGGACCCTCAAGGGAGAATCCTCACGCTGAAAAGGCCCCCAGATGAAGCTCGTCCGATCATGGGCGAGGATCTTCAATGGAGAGCACTCACTCTGTGAGGGCTCTCAGATGAAGTCCTTCCGATCATGAGGACCGTCAAGGGAGGGCCCTCAATCTGAATAGAGGACACCCGGCCGAAGTCTTTCCGATCATGGATGAGGACCCTCCAGGGAGCGCCCTCACTCTGAGAGGGCTCCCAGATGAAGACTCTCCGATCATGAGAGAGGACCCTCAAGGGAGAACCCTCACTCTGAGAGGGCTCCCAGATGAAGCCCCTCCGATCGTGAAGACCTTCAAGGGAGAGCCCTCAATCTGAATAGAGGGCACTCCGCTGAAGTCTTTCCGATCATGAGGACCCTCAAGGGAGAACCCTCACGCTGAAAGGGCCCTCCGATGAAGCTCTTCCGATCATGAGAGAAGACCTTGCTCAAGGGAGAACCCGCACTCTGAGAGGGCTCCCAGATGAGGCCCTTCCGATGATCGTGAGAGAGGACCTCCAAGGGAGGGCCCTCAATCTGAATAAAGGGCACCCGGCTGAAGCCTTTCCGATCATGAAGACCCTCAAGGGCGAACCCTTTCACGCTTACACACTGGCAAAGAGGCGCCTGATCTGCATTGGATTCCCATGCGTCACACTAGAGAACCCACGCGGAAAAGACATCCGACCCCGATGAGATTCCCACGCTTCACGCTAGAGCGCACACCGTCAAAAAGCACCCAAGCCCCACGAGATTCCTACGCGTCACGCCAGAGCACGCACGGCGAAGAAACACCCAATCCCCCCGAGATTCATACGCGTCATGCTAGGGGCGTGACGCGTGACGATCCGCGGGGGGCGTTCGCTGACTCTTACGGGGGACAACCCCAGCCACCCCAATCCTTTAAAACGTCGCTAAAATTCTGCCAATTTTCCTGCGCGCAACCACCTCAGAAGCACCCGCGAAACTGCTAGCGACACCCACCCCCTGGCCAGCCATACGCAATACCCATCGGCCGCACCTCCAAAAGCACGACCACCCAAGCAACAAGCTGCCCGTAAGTGCAGACACCACAGCCCTACCCCTGCGCAGACCCTGCAAAACCCGACGACCCAATATATGAAAGAACACAACCGGCGCGAACCAACATACGCGGCAGACAGCCCTCCCCCCCTTAAGCTCGAGAATGGGGCCCCCTGGGCTTTACGGGGTTTCTAGTGCGGATATGATCTGGGGCCAAGCGATCGCCAGGCGGGTCCTGCTCCTGCTGGGGCCTCCTGTGCGTGGTTCCTGTGGTTCGTGTGGTCCCTGTGTGGTCCCTGTGGTTCCACCCCTTTGATCGACTTTCTTTCAGGTTTGCCGCCTGGGGAACATTTTCCACCCCCTTGGTTGACTTTCTGCCAGGTTTGCTGCCTCGGGAACACTTTCTACCCCCCTGAGTGATTTCCTGCCAGGTTTGCCGCCTCAGGAACATTCTGCCGCCCCCCTTTGTTGATTTTCTGCCAGGTTTTCTGCCTGGGGAATACTTTCCGCCCCCCGGGTTGATTTTCTGCCAGGTTTGCCACCTCCTCGGGAACATTTTCCGCCCCCCTCTGTGACTTTCTGCCGCGTTTTCTGCCTACCCTGGATGGAACATCTTCCACCCCCCTCCGTGACTTTCTGCCACCCGGGAACACTTTCCACCCCCCTCTTGGACTTTCTGCCGCATTTTCTGACAATCGGGAACATTTTCCGCCCCCCTCTTGGACTTTCTGCCGCATTTTCTGCCACCAAGCACACTTTTGCCGCCCCTTCCTCTTGGACTTTCTGCCGCATTTTTTGCCAAGCCCTGTAAACTTCTGCCGAAGGAGCTTTTCCCCCTCGCCGTCTTGTGGACATTTTCCGCGTCCCTCTTGAGGTTAGGACTGAGACTGAGACTCACAACCAGGGGAACGCTGCTGCCCCTCGTCCGCCAATTCAAAGCTCCCAACAAAGTGAACAGGGGAGAAGAAACTTACAACCAAGCGAATGCGCGAGGCCGTTGCCCTTTGTTGTTGTGGTCTCAGTCCGCTGAATCCTAAAAAAGTTGCTGACAGTCAAGCCATTGCCACGCTGCTGGTGCTAGCGCTATCGCGTGCTTCTCAAGTTCCTCCTACAGGCTGCTCCGATATATTTTTGGTGGATGTGCTCACTGCGGTCAAACAAAGTTGTGCTTTCGTGCTAAGTTAGGCGAAGTTAACACAGGCTGGCGCCTCCTCTGTTTACATTTTCAAAATGGTAAAGAAGCGAAACCAAATTGCCTACACGACTAGAAATCCCGTAAAGCCCAGGGGGTCCCTTTCTCGACCCTACCCCCCCCCACCCGGGACCACTCTAATTCGGGCGCTAAAATGTTCGCTAATTTATTTGAGCAGAAACCGGCGGAAAGCACCCTGGGGAGCCCGTTCAAAAAGTTGCTAGGCTGTTGCCCTATCTAATTGGGTTTTTGGGGTTCCTCGAAACCCCTCTAAAATTTCTCTAGTTCGTTGCGCTGGTTTGGCGTTTTAATTCACAGCCCCCCAACATGCGTAAAAACGCGCAGGCTTTTGGGGTACAAAATTAAGTAAAAGACCAAACTAGCGGAAGGAATTAGAGGAATTTGGGAGAGGTTTCCGCTTCAAGATCCCCCCAAAAGGATTGGAGTCACAGATTAGCGCGATTAGTTTTTAGAGTAAAAAAGTAAGACACCCCGGCAAGAAATCCCGCCGAGTTAGGGGCGCCGGATTAGCATGCAGAAGTAGCGCGATTCTTAGCGCCCCAGCCTAGCGCGAATTTTAGCAAAAAAATTAGAGCCCCCGAACAAACCCGAGCACGGCGCCAAGCTGACAGCCGCCAAGCCGACCCAAGCCTTTTGAGGAGGAGACACCCGACCGATATCACCGCAAGGCCACGGGGAGCCCGCATGTTGCCCCCCACCATCACACGACCAAGCCCACCACACAGAAAAAACCATCACCACCACAAGCAGCCGACCTAACGCTAACTCACACCATACGGAACTCCTGCAAAATTCGAGGAGTTTACTGACTGTAGCAGAAACTTAGGAACGAAAACCGCCCAGGCGTGTCCTCCTGAGGGAGGCTCCGAAATAAATAAGGGCCAAACCCCGAGGCCCTCGACGACAAGCGACGACAGATCGCGGGCGACGACAGACCGCGAGCGACGGCAGACCGCGATCGACGGCAGACCGCGGCCGACGACGATCGGCGACGACGATCAGAGACAAGACCGACAGCAGACGACGACCGACGGCGATCCATCGACGACAGACGCACGTCGACGACCGACGACTACACCGAGCCCCAACGCGCCAACACCTTCGCCAAGGGTGGGTCCGCAGCTCGTCGGCGTGGGCTGGACGCAGTCACTTTCAAAACGACGCGCGGAGAGTCCCGACTGCCCTCAACTCGTGGGCCACCACGAGCCAAGCAATTGCAGACGCCGCCGCTTTCAATTCTTCAAAACGGCACGCGGGGGGGCCCAGTTGTCCGCAAAAATTCGTGGCCGCGCGACGAGTCCCAGCTGAGTCGATTGTCCCCACGAATTGCGGACACCACCCGGCCGAAAACGACGCGCGCAAACAGCGTCCCCAGGCTCGCAATCCGCGAGCCCCGAGAATTGCAGACGCCGCGCCACTCAAAACGACCCGCGCGAAGCCCCCAAGCCCGCAGCCCGGTCGCGGGGCCCCGCGAATAAATTGCGGACAGAGGAGAACACAAAACAACCACGACAGCAAGGCCAACGGATTCGCGGGCGTTTGCTATAAGGCAAAGCGCAGCAAGAAACGAGCTGCCTGCCTGGCGAAACCGTCGGCGGCTTCCATTGGGGCGAGAGCGCCGCGGCCGTCCTCCTGTCCTTAGTATTCAAGTCGCCGCCCCCCGATGTACGTAGCACGAAGACCAGACGGGCGCAGGGATGGTCTCCGGGTCTGGTCTTCTATGCGGTCGACGCTGGAGACTGCCAGAGCCCGCAGCCCCTCACGTGGTGGCGTGGTAGTTGGTGGGGGCTGCTCCTCTTCACTCTCCGCCTCGACGAGGTGGCAGACACCTCGTCGGCCCCATCTCCTTCGAGATGGGGCCCCACTTCTCTGCCTTTGCTGGGGCGTTTTGGCTTATAAATTCCACAAGGCTAGTCCTGTGCACTTCCACAAGCTCGCTGGGCCCTTCTTTTGGAGCGGCTTGGGCGTGGTAGCCGCCCCCGCCCTGCTATACGATTGCGGCCGCCCTTCTTTGGCAGCGAGTAGCCGGCGCGAGACCTGGCCCTGACCATAGCTCTCCACCTCGCTCCTGGCAGTGGCATCCCCATCATAAGGCGCAGCCACGACGCTGCGCGCGGCGTGTCTTCCCCCTGGGTTCTTCTCCTGTTGCAGATGTTTCCACCTGTTCTCATCAGCAGCCAGCTGTCTGACTTGGCTGGGCTCGATGTGCCCACCGATCGGGTGGGGCGGGATTCCGTCTACCCCTTTTCTCCATCATCCTGACGATGACACAAGCCAACCGACCGGATGGGGCGGGGTGCCATCTCATCCCTGCAACCGTTTTACCTAAGAGGGCTGCCCTCTTTAAGATACTGCGCTGGCCTCCATAACAAGAGGGAGGGCCCCCCCTTCAAACGATTAAAATTCCCAAAGTTACTCGCTCGACCCCGCAAAGAGGGCGCGGAGCTCCAACCGCCAACCCTGCGGGGGACGGGACCCCAAGAGAGTGCGGCGCCTGCCTCTGGCGTCCGCCTTATCGCCTTCCCCTATCGGACGGGGGGCCTCCCCTTAAGCGGCCCCTTCGTCGCCGCTCCATTAACCTCATCCCGTCCGGCCCCTTTTCCTTCTTTGGCTGGGCTTGCCCTCATCTCCTTGGCTTCTTTTGGCTTTGGGTCTCTTCCCTTTGGCCTCCTTTCTCACTCCGCTGCGCTTCAGCTCCGCGCTTACCCTCCCGAGCACTTGCGGCCTGCCCCTCTACTTTCCCCCGCTCTCCCTTGCGGGTTTCTCCGGCCTTCTCCTGCCCAGCCTCGCTCCCCCCCTTCGTTCCCTTGCTTTTTTGCTTGCCACGGCTCCGCCCTCTCGCTCCGGGTCGAGCCGTCCCCTTCCCCCCATTTTTCGCCCTGTGCCCTTTTCCTTTTGTTTCTGGCCCGCTTCCAGCGGCTGCCGCCCCTTTCCGTTTTTTTTTCCTCCCTGCGTCTCTTCTTTACTGTCGTCACCCGGTGGGCCCTTGCGCTCCCCGCTTGTCCGACTTCCAGCGCGGCCCCCTTCTTCTCCAGGGGCTGGCCCTCGCCTTCTCCACTTTTCCCCCCCCTCTCCTTCCATGCTCTTCCCTCTTTTTCTCTTTCCACTTGCCTCCACTCTTTCGGTGGCGGGTCCGCTCCTCTTCCTCTTTTCTCCCTCCTTGCTCTTCTCCTCGCTCTCTTCCCTCTTTCACTTCCTTGCTTTGTTCGCCCGCACCTGTTCCACCTGTTTCTTTGCCGTTGCCCATCTTTCTCCTCTTTTGCGCGGGCTTGCGCTCCTCTTCCTCTTCTTCCTTTTCGTCTCTTTTCGTTTGCGTTCCCTCTTTGCTCTTCTCGTCTTCCCTAATCCCTTTCGCACCTTTTAGCCAGTTCGCACGCGCCTCACCCATGCCGTAACTGCTCTGGCACATCCCGCGCCTTCTAATGTCTGACGCGCTGCCCCTGCAGCTCTTCACCTGGCTTGCCAGAGGCAAGGCGCCTCGCCTCTCTCTCCGTCTTCCTGCACCTCCATGCAAGAGGTGGAGCCCCTGGCGAGGTCCCGGACCCCCTCCGCCTCCCTTCGGTCGTGCATATAGGCCCCGGCCCCTTGCCATGGCCAGGCATCCTCCTCCGCTGCTTCCATCAAGGCGGCCAAGATCTCCTCTTCCGTGGCGCCCGTTCCCTCGCGGCGCATCTCCCTGAAGGTCCTGCGCATATCACTGCCCCCCCCTCCTTCTTCCTCTTCTCCTTTCATGCGCCCTTCTTCCCCCTTCGCTGCTTTCCATTTCGTTAGCTCCTTCCGCGCTGCCTTTTCCCCACGCGTCTCCGGGCCTCCTTCCTTCTTGTTCTTCACCGTCTTGGCCCAATGCCCTACGAGCCCCCGCGGCCCTCCCTGCCACCGTGCTCGCACTTTGTCCAGCCCCGTGCCTCCTTTTCTCCTCTCCTAGTGTCATGCAGCACCCTCGCCGCCGCATTCCGTAGCCCCTCCTAATGTGTCGACTGCAAGCACCTGAGGGGCATCCCCTCAGCACTCCCCGTCCCCAGCCTTTTCGCCCAGATTCTAGCCCCCGGCCCCTGGTCCAGTTTGGTTCCCCCCCATCTCCAAGCACTTCCCGGACCCTCTGCAGCCCCTCCACTCCCTTCATGCCCAGCGGGTCTCCCCTTCGGAGGTGTTCCGTCACTCTCTTCCTAAACTTCTCGCAGATCTGTCTCTCCTTGTTGTCTATCTCCTGCACTTTCACCCTCCTCGCGGGCACGGCGTTAGGCCCCCTATTTGCCTTCAACTCTACCCCACTGACCAAACACCTCCCCCGCTTCTCCTCCCTGTAACAGTCAACAACCGTCATGAACTATTTAAGGGCGAGCAGCCTTTTGGGATCTTCTGGCCGTATCGGTTCCATCTAGTTCACGATTATAAACCCACACCAAATGGTTGACGATGATCTCCTCGCGTACTGTTCCATCCTCGTTCTTTGAGCTTGCCACGGTTTTGCTATATCGGTCATATTTCCGCCCTGAGGCTGTGGATACTCGGCCAGCACTGGAATGACTATCGTCCGGATAAGAAAACTGGTCATAGCTCCAGCCCATCTTCTCGCCCGACTTCGTGCAGCCTGTACCTGAGAGAGGTGAAGGCGATGTAGCACTGCGCCAAGCTTGCTGCGTAAATGGCTAATACTTCTGAGAGCCCGACTACGGCCAGCGGTAAGTGTCTTTTTCTAAAAAGTTACAAATTAATTTTTTTGAAAATATAAGGCTATTAATTACTTAGAGACTTCGCCAGCTAGTTAAGCAACTAGGCTAGGAGATATCCCCTGGATTGGCCGCGAGGACTCCTGTGGCTGGTAATCCAGAGGCTGAAGAAGTGGGCACTTTGAGGCAGCAGCCAGGTGATGATGGGCTTGCTTGCTTCGTGGAGTCGGGTCGACTCCGCAGACCAAATATTAAGAGCAACAAAACTTGGCAAACGCACCCCCTCCGAAGCCTCAACCCCAAACACCTAAACCCACAACCCCCGACACAAAAACAAACAAGCGAAACCATGAAACCACGAAGCCATGGAGTTGAATGAATTTCGGGGGAAAGGGCTTCAAGTCAAAAGCTTTGGGATCTTAGCGCCTCACACTCACGAGATTCAATCCCAAAACGGCAAAAACGTGGAAAATTTTCGAAATTTGAAAAATAGAAATCCAAGAGATTGAACCTCAGGGAAAGGGCTTAAGGTCAAAAGCCTTGAGATCCTGGCACTTCAAACGCACGGAATTCAATCCCAAAACGGCGACAAAACGTGGAAAATTTTCGAAAATTTCAACGATGCAAATCCAAGAAGTTGAATCTCAGGGAAAGGGCTGAAAGTCAAAAGCTTTGGGGCCTTAGCCCTTCAAACTCACGGGATTCAACCCCAAAACGACGGGAAAACGTGGAAAATTTTCGAAATTTGGCCAACGCGAATCCACGAAATTAAACCGCAAGGAAAGGGCTGAAAGTCAAAAAGTTTGGCGTCTTAACGCTTCAAACGCACGAGCTTCAATCTCAAAACGACGAAAAAACTTGGAAAATTTTCGAAATTTGAAAAACGCGAAGCCAAGAAGGTGAATGCTAAAGAAAGGGCCTAAAGTCAAAAGCTTTGGGACCTTAGCACTTCAAACGCACGAGACTCAATCCCCAAACGAAGGCAAAACGTGGGGAATCTATTTCGAAACTTGGAAAAAAGAAGCACGTCGCTCACGTCTTTGCATGCTGTGCTTAGTTTCTTACTTTGGGGAGGAGGGGCGGGAATCCTAGTGGGAGGGATGTTATCGGGCGCTCATAGCTAGTAAGCCCAGGACGGCCTGGCGTCCGCCTCCAAATCGCGGAGCGAGTATCACTACGCTTTAGTTTCTATCTTCTCTTTTTCTACCACCACCAAGCCGCCCCATCTCTCCACGACCTTGCTGTTGCTTTTGGAAGACACCGAAACCAAGCCACTGCCTTAGCTGTGACTTTAGGGCGATCGCCATCGATGTAGAACATGCACACCGGTCCACATCGACGCGCTTCTTGCTCCGGCCTTGTTGTTTCCTTATGGTGCTCAGTGAGAGCTTGACCCTACTGGTTCACTGCACTGCTTGGCATTTGTTGTTGTCCGTGGACCCCTTCGGGGGTCCAGGTTTCCGTTTGCGTTGGCCTACTAGGAGCTTCTTTAAGCGCCAAAAGCCTCCAAAGCGCCCAGATCTTCAGCCACCGGATTCCAGACGGCCGACCCAGGGGGAATCCCCTAGCCTATTAACCTTAACTAGCTAGTGATCTACCTACTTACACCATGAGAAAAAATTTAAAAAAATAAATTTGTAACTTTTTGTGAAAACACACTTTACGCTGGCCATACCGACACAAAAATACTAGACGTGGTAGTAGGAAGACCACATCACATAAAAGAGGAAGCAAACTTTTGACAGACTCAGAAATCGCCCACGCATCAACATTCACAACTAATCAGCCCAAATTATAAAAGGTCGCATAATCTTAGTACCTTTATGAAACAAGTTTTCGGCGAGGCAACTGCTGAAGACATGTTTCAAAAAACCACGAAACTCTTCGTAATCTTTGGGATTCAGGCCCACTTTAGCGGGGTCCAGTATGCCTGAGGAGAAATCGACGTCTTTTACACCATGATCGGCGAGCTCGTATTTCAAGCTGAAGAACTCGTCTACTTGAGCTTTAAAGTTTCCCCACTGCACTCCCAAGGCGACCGCTTGTTTTGCACCACTGCCGCCCATTTTTTGTATGACAATTATAGTTGTGATTATGTAGTCAGCTATTGGCGTGCACTATGTGGGCGACAGTATGGCGATGGCATACGATTACTTTTGCAGATGGTTACAAAAATTTCATTAGCTATCTTCGGGTTAGGCGCGAGCTTCATTTTCACGACTCTCAACAAATACAATTATTTACTTAGTACCTTGTTGCGTATTCTACAACTTCCTGGCGAGGGCCTTCAGATGATTGGAAAACAAACAGTTAACAAGCAGTTCTTCAGATTTTTAATAGAAGATTATTGATGAACAAGATGTACTTTCAACAATCATTACCTGTTCATATTTAAGTGGTTGACCGGGAAGAAAAAAAAAGCGTAAAGCGTCTCCTTTACAGACTTAGAGAACAACTGGATAAGAGATTACCGTCGGCTGTATCATCATGTGATGTGTGAATTTTAAAGGCTACATCGACACACCTGTCATACAACATAAACAACTCATGCTCTAATACTCGACAAAAAAAAACTACACATACAGCGAGCTATTTCTCGGCCGCTGCACGATTCGGAAAAAAAGCAACGGGGGAAGGAAAAAATGACCGAAATGGCCCATGATGAGGCATTCATTGATTAATGGAATCATGTTGAAGAGAGAAAAAAAGTCATCAACATGCATGCTAAGTGTGCTCCTCACAATGCTAGAAAACTCTCGTGTACTTCTCCTCACAACAGAAAGCCGCGCCAATGTCATCTCACATAATCTCGTGAACTAGAAACCTTTTACCCCTTTCTCTCTACCTCTCCAGCTCCACTTTCTAAAAATTTCTGTTTCTGCGCTCATGAATAAAATAAAGATTTTCTTAGTTCTTTGAAAAACATGATTACCGACACGTGGTTGTGACAAAGCTCCTGTCACTGCAACGTCTGCAAGCGACATTTTGTTTCTCGACAACCATGCCTCTCACCTTCGGAACCATCAGAACTGACCTGCACTCGAGCTGCAAGTGGGACGCGCTACTCTCTTGCTAGTTTAGCAAAGCTTTTAGAAAATTTAGAATTTTTAGAAAAATTGGAATAGATCACAATCGCCGACGCTTTGGCCATATATTTTACATCACTATTCTTGTTCATTCTGCATGGTCAATTATCATCCACAATGCACTATCACTATGCACACGTCTCTATTCGTATTCTATGTCGCCAGAATGAAAGTCTCGTACTAGTTGTACTTCATCTACACGACACGAAGATGATTACGGTCATCAAAAATACCAACAAAAGAGTGTCTGCAAAACGAACCCGCGAAAGAGCGTCACGATCGCAGTCGATCGCTTCCCTCCCTTCTCATCCTATGGATGCGTCGTATCCGCATGCTCGCTTTCCGCTATCTTCTGTATTCCGAAAATCTAAACGATATCAGGAAGACCATCTCAAATTGTAAAATCGAGATACAGCTTGACGCTGGTTTTTCGTAGTTCGTTATTCTCGTCTCGACCGTAGGATGCAAAGACCGCCACGAAACGTAAGTAATATAGCGTTGACTTCCGATCTCCATGTCATGTCATGGAACCTCGTTTTACGTTATCCGAAGCCGAACGTTTTTGAGGCCTTTCAACTATTACTTGGAATCCTTTGCGGCAACGACTTGTCTGCTTCAAAATCGGACTCCAGTTCGAACATTGCTAAAATCCGGATCATCATCAGATTTCGTCACGCCTAGTGGTATTCTCAGCACTTCGCAAGTCGCACTTCGAGACGTGCAGGCACAAGAAATTTCCTGCATGCTGTAGTTTAGACTCCGCAGATGAGTCTCTCCTGACGAAGAGAGGACCGACCACGTGTGAGCTCTGTGCGAAGCCAGCCGCCGTGCATGAGTCGGCGGAGAACGTAGCGACTTTCGCTCAATGAGCCACAACCGGGGGAAGACACACTTCTTCTTACAGACGAGGACGGTCTCGAGATGCCCAGTCTCTTCGTCTTTAGACCTGCTTGTTTTTAGATTTTTTAGATTATTTAGAAAGGTATCATCAAGATGCATGTCTTCAGTATGAGTATCTCACAGTGTGAAGAAAGAACAGATAGCAGAATTTCACTCCCAATAACTAAGCAAGTCTTCTGTCCTATCTTCGAAAATACCATTTACAGTTTCCGTCATTCTGCTCGGCTAATGCGACATAGCAGCTGCTCCGTTCCAACTTAAAAGCAGAGGTTTCGTCGGGAGGAGCAGGCGCTTGACAAGATACTGCGCAGTCCGTCTCCATTTGCCGTCGAATGCTTGACAAGATACTTCAAGCAGTGTACCGAGGTCGTCCGCTCGACGCCGAATTTTTGACAAGATACTTGAAGCCTCTTGCTATCAAGGTGCGCAGTCCGCTCGACGTCGGTCGCAAATCTAGCCTTTGGGATTTTTTCTTTAGATTATTTAGAATTGCATATCAAAATATCATTAAGAAGTGACTGAAGGTGGTCGTGTGAGATGTTTGGTTTCAACAGGAGCTACATATAGATATACCAGTATTTCGTAGTCTTGTGGAAAAAGCGTTTCTCTAAAAAATCTAAATCGCTTTCGCTTCTTTCAAATCGATATCCATTACCATTTTCCAACAACCTCAGGCTTGCCACCTCGCGAAGCTTTTGCTTCCTGGGGACGATCCTCCAAGCATCTAGATGAGAAGCAAATGACGGGGTTCGTCGAGGTCCGTCCAGGTTCGCCATCTTGTGTTTCGAATCGCCAAAAAAATCTAAATTATCTCTTGAGCCTTTCGTTGTGGTGCTTCCGCTCGCAGAGTGCAATGGCTGCACAGCTCAAGACGCTAAAAGAGCTCGCTAACGACACTGTAAGCTTCTGCTGTGGAACGATGAAAGGGATCTGCTCGTGGCCACACCTCCCATACGGGAGTCATCCTCTGCTCGAGATAACATCAAGCCAAAGAATCTCCTGTAACCAGAAGAGACCAAGAATCTCCATGTCGGACCGTAGCTGAACAAGTTGCCGGTTTAGTACTGATGCCGTGCGCTGGGAAAGTGCCAAACCACTACGATCAGGTTGTATGACGCGAGGCACTTATTTCCTCCTCCTCTGGTGTGCAGGAATGAAGCCGGGTGGCCGAAATCTGATACACCTTTTTTTGCACATTATGGTGCACGACTAAGCACATGTGACTGCTGACGCTCGCCGCGGATGAGTGGTCCTAAAGAGGACTTGAGTGCTAATGCGAAGATCATTTTCTACAAAGATATCACAAGGAATGTCTTCCTGCACATGCGTCCCGAGTTCCGCACTTTCCTGATCACGGTAGCGAGTGTGCCAACATCGCATATGTTTACTGCATTTTTTTAGATTTTTTAGATTTACGAAGCGTTCGTAGTTATCATAAACTCTCAAACTCAATGTCGCGTTATCCTAAATACTTATCGTTATCTATTAGATACCAAAACCAACAGTTGCAGCTTGTTCGCACACTTGTTCAGTACCAGGATGATATCCAAGATTTAGATCATTCGTAACATCGTCAGTGCTCTCGCTGCGTGGATCAAGATCCCAAAGCTTCTAGACATTATAATATGGCACCAACATCCATGATGAGCATCGCAGTTATCTTGTCTAAACATGATGTCCAGGATGGTCTGTGAACACGTGGTTTTAAAAGAAAAAACTGGTAAGCCGAGCGGCTTTGAGGCAGTTTCAGGGCCTCGTTCACAGCACAAGCTGTTCACCTTTTGTTTTTGGTTTGTTTAGAAGTACATGAATGAGTTGACGAAGTCGTAGAAATTATCTTCTAGGTTCATAGTATCTATTTCGATATAATCAGAGAGTATACAGAATACAGGTAAAATCTTCAGTTGTCTCAAGTATGTGAAACAGTGGATCCCTGTACAACATGAATAGGGTTCTTGGTGGAAAAAACGTATGTCTGCATCGTCAAGATCATTGCGAGGAAGACATCAGGAACAGCGGTCTCGCATAGACTTACATCTGCTGTCACCCACAGTCAGAGAAGTCCAGACGTAGAAGAAATTTTCTAACTTCTCACGTCGTGGAGGTTTCAAAGCGTCTTGCTACCAGCCTCCTCCAGCTCTCGACTCGGCAGTACTCGCTGCCTGGCTGCTGACTGGCATTCCCGAATCTCTGCGCCTACTACTGAAGCAGAAGCATAATTTTCTCCAAACGCGAAATCTAGTTGGTCATCATCGACACGAAGCTCGTCCTTGCTGCTGTCACATGCGACCTTCTTCGGGTTCTTAGCGTGACCTGCGCGCTTCCTCACTGCAGGTAATCGCGTTGCGCCCTGTTCTTGGTCATCGGTGGTCTCGTTGCTTCTTGCTGCAGTGGGCGAGGACTCACGCTCAGCGTCGCTGCTAGAATGATCATCATCATCCGCACGTTCGGAGTAGAACAAGAAAGGGTTGTCCTTCGCACTTGTCGAGCCGTAGTTCTTGTTGTGATGCTGCTCGTCATGATCTCCTGCACTGTTTTCGAGAGAGCTACCAGCAAAGGAGCTACCTGCGCGAGGAGGTGTAGCTGCAGCAGCAGCAGCCGCTGCGTGCCGATAGAAGAAGAAGTAAATGAACAAAAACAATACTATGAACAAGATGAAGCCAGTGGCTGCAACACCATGCCAAACCCACTCGGATGCAGCTAGTTCTACTGGATGAAGATCTGTGAAGGCAGAGTTTGTGTCCGTACTCGGAGGATAGAGTTTGAATCTCGGGAGCTTGAGCGGCTCGTCTTCCCCTACGTCTACAGTGTCTGGCATTTTTTTAGAGAGCACAAGCATTTTGTGCGAAGGCCAGGACTCCACCAGACCAGCGCACTAGGCGGACAGCGGGTGTGAATGCTGAGGCCACATACAAGCCGCTATGCTGATGATGAGTACCAGCGCAGGCGTCCGTCCCAAAGCGAAGTGTGGAGACTAGAAGGCGCAGGTTTGAGCGTGGTGAAGTGGAAAGGTAGAAGAAGAAAAAATACCATAGATGAAAACGAAAAGCTTCTTTCAAATGCCATAATTGTTCTTGGTCCCCTCCATCGCCACCGCCATTTTCGGCAATCATTTTTGGTGTCCCAGTTCGCCGTTTTCTGTCCTCCCGTGTTAATTCGTCGCTCAAAGATTATTTCATCGAGCGCAACGCGCTCCTGCCCCCCGGTCATTTGGACGCGCGAAACGCAGATCACCGAAACTAGCGGGGGTTTCCGGCACATATGCTTGCTGTTGATCATGAACGCAGAAACTATAAAGCTTGACGTGGCTTAAATTCCTTGATGTGCCCACAGATCGGGTAGAAACTATAAAGCTGACAAGCTGGGCCACTTTGTGGCGTCATAAACTGTAGGGGTAGACCCGAACTATTTCAGTAGAAACATAAAGCACACGCGAGCGCATGCACGCTGCTGCCGTTCGTCAATCATGTGTCTGATCTCAGTGCTTGACCCTCTTGGCCTTCTTCTGTTGTTCTGAACTTCCTTGGCTGGTCAAGATCCTCCTGGGCTTCCTGCTCTTGTTCATTTTCATCACCATAAGAAAGGCTCAGAAAATAAGAGCCAAACCCCGAGACCCTCGACGACAGACCGCGAGCGACGACAGACCGCGATCGACAACGGACCGCGGCCGACGACGACCGACGGCAGGCGACGATCGACGGCAGACGACGATCGACGACAGACACACGACGACCACACCGAGCCCCGACATGCCTAACACCTTCGCCAAGAGTCCTTCGCAGCTCGTCGGCGGGGGGTGAGCGCCATCACTTTCTTTCAAAACGACGCGCGGAGAGTCCCAATTCCCCGCAACTCATGGGCCACCACGAACCAACTGCAGACGCCGTCGCGTTCAATTCAAAACGGCACGCGGGGGGCCCCAATTGTCCGCAACTCGTGGGCACGCGAATCAACTGCGGACGCCGTCACTCTCAAAGCCAAAACGACACGCGGAGAGCCCCAGCCGAATTGCCCCCACGAATTGCGGACACCGCCCAGCCCAAAACGACGCGCGCAGGCAGAGCCCCCAAGCCCGCAGCCCGTGAACCCCCCGAGTTGCGGACGCCGTGCCACTCAAAACGACAGCACGCGCGGAGCCCCCAAGCCCGCAGCCCGTGAAATCCCACAAACAAACTGCGGACAGAGGAGAACACAAAACAACCACAAAACAAAGCAAGGGCAACGCCTTCGCGGGCGTTTGCTATATGGGCGTGGCAAAGTCAGAGCTGCCTGGCGAAACCGTCGGCGGCTTCTATTGCGGCGAGAGCGCCGCAGCCGTCCTCCTGTCCTTAATATTCAAGGCGCCGCCCCCCGATGTATCACGAGGGCCAGACCTCCGGGTCTGGTCTTCTATGCCGTCGACGCTGGAGACTGCCGCCAAGCGCAGCTTCTCGCGTGGTGGCGTGGTAGTTGGTGGGGGCTGCTCCTCTTCACTCTCAGCCTCGACGGGGTGACAGACACCCACCGGCCCAATCTTCTTCGAGATGGGGCCCCAGTTCTCCGCCTTTGCCGGCTTTTAAATTCCACAAGGCTGGCCGCCCTCCCTGGGTCCTTCTACTTCCTTCTTTTTTGCGCGCGCTTGCGCTCCTCTTCCTCTCCTCCCTTTTCGTCTCTTTTTCGGTTGCGTTCCCTCTTTGCTCCTTCCTGTTTTCTCTCTTTCTCTCTCTTGCTTCTTTTCTCCTCTTCTTCCTCTCCCTTCCTTATGTGCTCTGCCCAAAATTCCCCGGCCTCTCTCCTTTTACACCCCTCACACCACTGGGCCCGCAGCTCCTCCAGCAACCGACATGCCCTCGCCCTAATAAATGGGCACGCCTGCCCCTTCATGGTCGGGCCCTACCTCAGCCGCTTCACCCCATGGGACACCCCGCCCCTCCTCGTCTTTCCTCCGCCTTTTCGCGCCTTTTACTAGCCAGCTCCCATGTGCCTCACCCCTGCCGTAAAAGATCTGGCATCTCCAGCGCCTTCTAATGTCTGACGCGCTGTCCTTGCAGCTCTTCACCTGGCTCGCCAGAGGCAAGGCGCCTCGCCTCTCTCTCCGTCTTCCTGCAGCTCCATGCAGAAAATGGAGCCCCTGGCGAGGTCCCAGCCAAGCCTCCTCCCCCGCCTCCCTTCGGTCATGCACATAGTATAGTTAGACCCCGGCCCCTTGCGATGGCCAGGCACCCCTCTCTACTGCTTCCACCAAGGCAGCCAAGGCGAGGATCTCCTCCGCCGTGGCACCCGTTCCCCCGCGGCGCACCTCCCTGAAGGTCCTGCGCATATCATTGCCCCCCCTCCTTCTTCCTCTTCTCCCTTCATGCGCCCCTCTCCCCCCTTCACTGCTTTCCACTCCGTTAGCTCCTTCCGCGCTGCCTTTTCCCGAAATGTCTCCGGGCCTCCTTCCTTCTTGTTCTTCACAGTCTTGACCCAATGCCCCACGAGCACCCGCGGCCCTTTGGGGCCCTCCTTGCCAAAGTGCTCGCACTTTGCCCACCCCCGTGCCCCCTTTTCTCCTCTCCTAGCGTCATGCAGCACCCTCACCGCTGCACTCCATAACCCCTGCCGGTGTATCGACTGCAAGCAGCTGAAGAGTATGCCCTTGACACTCCTCGCCTTCAGCCTTTTCACCCAAGTCCTAGGCCCCGGCCCCTGGTCCAGTTTCTCCCCATCTCCAAGCACTTCCCGGGCCCTCTGCAGCCCCTCCATTCCCTTCATGCCCCCCAGGCCCTTCCCCTGGAGGTGTTCCGCCAGTCTCTCCCTGAGCTCCTCCCAGCTCTGTCTCTCCTTGTTGTTGCAAGATGTGAAGCCCAAGAAACCGAGCGCCGAAAGCTTCCGAAAGTTCAACGCATCGACAGACCCCCGACCAATCAAAAAGCTGAGGCGCGTGGCGTGATTCCCGCCGCGCGCCACGGCTCTCTTTGTTGCTCTCTCACCCTGTCAGTCTCTGCCCCCTGTCTCTCACAGCGGGCCCATCTTCACCCAAAGCGCCAAGCCCGCTGCCCCTAGGCATGGGCGCCCTGGCTCTTTGGTTTGTCGGCCTCTCTCTCTCTCTCTGCCAGCCCCCGCCCGTGTTCGTGCGGTGGGTCTTCGCCGCCGGCCTTTGTGTGAATGTGGGGAGAGCTGCCTATCTGGCAAAAACTAGCCAGCGAACCCCCCATCGCCCGACATATGCACCGACGCCCTCACGCGCTTCCTCTCTTACTACATGAAAGCAAGGAGGCAGGCTAAGCTCTATACGTGCGCACAATTGCACCACCCAGATACCAAGCGCACGCACGTGACTAGAAGAAACCCACGCAAGCGCGCTGGGGTCGATGCGTCTACTTCTATAGTGAAAGGCGCCGCCGCCTTTGTTAGCATTTTGCCAAAAAGGGAGCAAAAAAAAATCACAAAAGACAAGCCTCCGCTTTTCTCCGCTTTTTTCCGTTTCTTTCGTTCCGTTTTCATATTTGGGGCCTTTAAGCTTCCGTCTATTTCCGTCGATTTCTGTCCCTTCCCGTCTGCTTCCGTTTTTGTCGGTTTTTTCCGTTTCTTTCCTTTTTTTTCCGTTCCTTTCCGTCAATTTCCGAAACAACTAACGGAAAAAGCCGGAAACTTTCGGGAGCCAGCTTTCGGAAAGAAACAGCGAAAACTAACAGAAGGCGACAAGAGTAGGCGGATGGAAATAGACAAGAGCGCGAAGAGAAGACCCCAAGCAAATAGGACAAAATAAAACAGAAACAAAACAGAAAAGGGCGGCGACTTGTTTGCCTTTCAAAATGATGACGATGATGATGCAAGCCCACCGATCGGGTGGGGCGGGATGCCATCTCATCCCTGCAACCGTTTTGCCTAAGAGGGCTGCCCTCTTTAAGATGAAAGGTTGCCCCTACCCGACCCCGCAGAGAGAGGCCAGACCCGCGCCCGCCACCTCTCCGGGGGACCCCAAGGAGGCGAGGGGAGCCCGTTCCGCTTGCTCTTACCCTCCTGCACTGCCTCCCCCTTCGTCGCTCGGGGGTCTCCCCTTAGGCAGCCCCTTAGTTTCAGCCGTTTTCTTTGCTGTTCTGTTCCCTTCGTGGTCTCCTTGGCCTCATTTCGTCCGGCGGTCCCTTTGCCAGGCCTCCGCCCTTTCTCTTCTTTTTTATTTCTTCCCTTCTGTGCCGGCTTCTTTCCTCTCTTTCAGCCTTGTTCTTTGTCCTCGATGCTGCTCCCTCTTCACTGCTGTGGGGCTGCTCGATGCCCCCAGCGCCCCCTTCTCGTCCTTTTCCTTGAGGGCGTTGCCCTCCTCCTCCTCTTGGTCTCCTGGCTGCTTCTTCTCCTTCTTCCTTTTTCTGAGGTCTATCAGCGGCTCCTCCGCCGGCCGCTTTTCTCCTCCAGCCTTTTCCGCCCCTGGGGGCTTCTTTGGCTTCTTCCCTTCCCTGAGTCCCTCCAGCGGTTTGGCCGCGGGCCTCTTTTTTCCTCCCCTTCGCTTCTCCTCTGTCTCTTCTCTCTTTCGGGCTTTGCGTTGGGCCTCTCTTTTTGCCTTCTCCTCCCGCTCCTCTTCCCTTTGTCTTTCTTTCAGAAACCTGCAGAGGGCCTCGCGTTTTTTGTTGAGATTTCGGCAAGCGTACCGCCTACATGTATAACAAGCGCCGACCTTAACAGACTACGGAGGTAGATGCAGAGTCTGACAGACTGCGCAGACCTCTCGACGCGTCGGCCCTATCCTATGCCAGTGCGCGCGCGTCTCTGTGATAGATAGACACGAGAAGAACACCACCAACCACACGCAAAGAGCCCCCCTCCAGCAATAAGGCGGCGGGGGAGTCTGCTAGCCTTGCTGGGTTTATCAGTGCCATCCGATACACCTAGAGGCTAACGAGTAGGCGCATGCGATAGTTTCAACCAATGACAGCGAGAAGCCACCGACCTAACTGCACACATATGGGCGAACAGCCTGAGGCTGGAACACGTGGGCCAGCTCAGCTACCGCAGCCAGCAGCCATCCCCTTGCTGCTTGGTGTGTGTGTGGATGGCTATGCATAAGCGGGGGGGACGTCTGTGGCATCTTGCGGGGGGTGTTAGTTTCCACCGACTCGCTGGCGGGTAGTCTGAGGTCTGAACCCGCGGAAACTTTCGGCAGGTTCTTGGCTGGCGTTCACATCTTGCAGCTGTTGCCCCCCTCCTGCAGTTTCACCCTCCTCACCGGCATGGCGTTAGGCCCCCCATCTGCGTCCAACTCTACCCCACTGCCCAAACGCCTCCCCTACCTCTCCTCCCTGTAAGTTGTAGCGGTCAACATCCGCGAGAAGCCGCAGGCGCTGGCCCCCATTCGCTTCGCACTGTCGGCGCGGGGACCCGTCTGCCCACCTCTTGCTGCTTCGTTCTGCCCTCTTCCACCTGCCGGGGAGCCTCTTCCATTTGCTTTCGCTCCCTACTCAGGCCTTGCCCTAGCTTCCTCTTTGCCCAAGCTGCTCCGGTGCGCCTGCCGTCTCCTGGCGCTGCCACCATACGCAGGAGCTTGGCCTGTAGCTGCTGCGTCTGGTTTGCTTTAGTTATGTCGTGGCCAGACAGCCCCGACGCATCTAAACCACCCAGCAGCGCCCTGCCTGCCAATGCCTCCACTAGCATCCTGCGGCCTATCCGATCGACGTCCCCACCTCTCAAGAGCGGACCGATCCCCCGCCCTTTTTTCCTCGCCTTGTTCAGTCTCTCAGCGACCTCGAGCTGTGTCACCCCGTGTGTGTTTATGATATCACCCACCAGCCCCCCGCCCCTCCTTATGAGATCTGCCCCAGCTGAGGAGTGCCGCGCGCTCCCTAGTCTCTCATGTAACGCCCGCCCCTCCTCAGGTGTTAACCCTCCCGCATAAGCGCCTCCGCCTTGCTCTTGTTCATAGTCGTGCTGCATCTTGCTCCCACTTCTTCAAAGATCTCCACAGCCCTCGCCGTCTTCTCCACGCTGTCACCCCAGATGCCCGCACCGTCTGCGTAGGTCGTCAGGCTAGCGCCCTTCTCTGTGTCCCGGTTTGCACCGTTTACCCCCAGCGCATCTACTACGACTCCCCGCCCCGGCTCAGCCAGCCATCTACTACGACCCCCAGCGCATCTACTACGCCCCTCCAGCGCGGGGCCCCCCCAGTGGTGCCCCGTTGGTGCCCAGGTTCTTCTGCTGTTTTCCCATCCCCGCCGCGGTTCCTCCTCCGCAGCTGCCCCCTTGCTTCTCCACCTCTACTCCCCTCAGACAGCCCTTCCTCCTCCAGCCTCCCCTCGGTCTCTTCTCTCATCGCGGGGGCATAGATGGTGAATAAATGAGGCGACACCGGGGGCCCTTGACATGCCCCCGAGTCTGCCTCTACCTCTTCCGCCCTATTTTTCCCCCACTGCGAGGGAGGCCAGGCGGGTCCCCGCGTGTAACCTCCTTACCCACCCAAGGCCACACAATCCGCCGGCGCCCCAAGCAAGCCCTAGCGTGATCCCGACCAGTCTGCCTCGCTTCACTCAGTCGAAAGCTTCCCCAAGTCACGCAGTGCCAGAGAGGGGCCCGCCGCCTCGTCCGCCTCTATTATATATCTCCACCAGATGCAAGAGATAGCCCCAGCGCCCCGCCCTGGCCTGGGAGCCATACTGTCTGGCCCTCCCAATTGTTTCTCTTATATATGACGCCCGCCGGCTGCCTCCTGTGCGCGTTGCGTGTAAGTGATCTTATGCGTGACCTGCAAGGCCGCCGCAAGCCTGTAGTTAACTCGCCCCGCCCCCCCCGGTCCCCCTTCCCCTTGCATAACCAGGCGGCCCAGCCGGTCTAGTGCTCTTCTGCTCCATTGGCTTCACGTCATCGATCTCCCCCAAGATCTTCACCGAGTTCTCCAGGCCCACCCTAAACAGCTCCCCGATGAGCCCACCCAGCCCCGCAGCCTTCACGTAGTTCACCCGCTCTACCGCCTCCCTGTAAGCTTCCCACGGGAGCCCATCTGCCCCCCTGGCCTCTAGACTGTTCGCCAGCTCCTCCCCGATCCTAACCGACCACGCCCCTACTTGTGCCCCCGCCTCCGCCTCCTGCCATTTCTCCGCCGTATCCTTTTCCCCCTCTTCCGGTATGTTCCATGGCTCGGCTAGTCTCAGCCGAAGGGCGTCTACTATCTCCCCATCCACCCGGGCGATTTTCTTGGCCCTCCCGTCTCCTCCTGTTACCTTTATCGCCGCCCTGTTTGTTCCCTTCGTCCTCTTGCTTGTCCCTTTGTGCTGTCTCGCCATTCCATCCAGCTGCTTCGCCTGCTCTGTCCTCGTCCCCTTCGCCAGGTCCCTGGTTCTGTCCGCCCAGCCTTCTCGCCTCGCCTTCTTCTCCTCTTCACAGATCTCCGTCGCAGTGTCCTCGCCATTCTTGCACGCCTCCCCATATTCCGCCAGCCTCTCCCTGATCCTGGCGCCCCTTTCTGATCTCTTCTCGCCCCTGCCTCCGCCTTTTCTTGTTCCTCGTCTGCCCTTCCTCCTCAGCAGCAAGCAGCCAGTCTGGCCGGAGCTGGCGCCGCCCGTTTTTCCTAAACATATAAGACCCAGGCTGCTTTTGACCCATATCGGGTCGGGCTGCTCGGGTTGCTCGAGTTGCCAGCCCAAACTCTGGCGCGGCACCCTTTCGGCGCAGACTTATGACCCTACGGGAGACCCTAACAAGAGCGCACGACACCACGCGCCGCGTCTCTGATCCTTGATTTTCTTCTTCGTGCGCCCCTAAGGCCCCACCAGCTACCCCCACCTTGCCAAGGGAGTGCGGTCGCCTATTCTTACGCTCAGCCGAGTGGCGTGGTCTCTGGCTAGATGGGTAAGATATCTAGCGGCGCCGCCCTATCTGCTTACGGCGTCCCCGTATTTCGAGCTGCGTACTCCCTCATAGATAAATATCTAGCGCGCCAATCCGACCACTTCAATTGAGAAGCCCCCCAGTATACTTACTGCCATGCCCAAGGCTGGACACGTCGCCCGCTCGCTCGCTGAAGCCAGCAGACGGAGGCTCACCCTCAGCCCCCAAGCAGATTGGCCACACCCACACCCGAAGAAATAAAAAAGGGAGAGATCGCCAACGACTCGAAGACGACACACCACAGCGACACCCACCTCAAAATAAAAAACAACAGAGACAGAGCAGCGCAGGGGCCTGCGCTCCTTGTTTTCGCTCCCAAAACGCGCCCGCACGCTACAAAAAAAGAGCCCGAAAGGCTGCCGAGCCCTTCACACGTGGCTGCCCCTTTCATGAGCAACAACAAAAAACAAAAGCTGCGCCCTTCTTCACTTCTTCACTTCAAGCGCGCAAATGCTCCCCCATACCGCCCGGCTTCGCCTCATTTTGCTGGGCCAAGGTTCTCCTGGCAACCCGTTCCAGATTTGGGGCCCCTGCGCTTCGACAACCCGGGCAAGGGCAACCCGCTGCAACTCGAGCAGCCCGAAGCCCAGCACTTACCTTATCCTTACCCTATTACTACATTACTACCTCTGCCGCTTTTGCCATGCCGTCCCTTTTTTATTTTCCGACCCTTTTGCGATTGGGAGAGCGAGGCCCCCCCTCGTCCGCTTCCTCCTGAGACTGTACGGCGATGGCCTCGACTGCGGGTCATGCCCAGGTTAACTCTGTTGTGAAGAGCAGGCCTTCTCTCTGCGAAAGCCTTCCAAAGTCCCCAGCCGAACCAGCCACCGCCGACCTTCAGCCCACCTTTAAGGCCCTGCGCGCCCTGCTTGAGTAGGTCCGAGCCGATGCCCCCGAGGTGGCACACCCCTGCGGCCTCGGTCATCGTCGTGCCCATCTTTGACCCCGTTGAAGGTAACACACCAACGCCAAGGGGCTGCAGTGACGTGCTCAGGACAGGCGTCAGACTCGAACAAGCGCCCGAGGCCACCCCCCTCACCAGTCCCCCGCAGTGGGGTGGCCCGTCGCCGCGCTCTTGGCACAGCCCGACACGGCCCGCGCAGCACGGTAGACAAGGCCCCGCGCTGTTGTCTCAGCCTTTGTTTCTGTTAAGCGCGCTCCGGTATTTTTTGCGTCGATTTCCCCGGAGGGCGCAGCCTCCCCACTCCCTGGGCGGGTGAGCGTTCTCTTCCACCTTCAGTCCTGTGGTCCTTGGCCGTGGCTGGTCCAGCTCCAGCCGTCCTCGCTCTTCCTCCCGAGCCAAACCAAGTCAGGAGTGGCGGCCGCACCAGCGTCAAAGCCGACTACGTCTGTCCCTCCCACCCAGGCAGCGCGCTCGGCTGGCGTGAAGGCTGGGGGCAGCAGGTGGCCCCCGTGTCGTCGTCTTCTTTGAGAGTAACGAGCGCCCCACCGGTGGTCTTTGCCTGGTCCTCAAGCAAGCGACAGAGGCGCGACAGATGGCTCGTAAAAGCCAGCCCGCGCGTAGCTATGCCAGCCCAGGCGTCTCACTTTGTCGGGGCATTAGCTAGCACCGCCCTGCCCCACCCTCACCGCACTCGACGCCAGCCCCGCTAATAAGGCTGCTGACTCGCTCGCCTTCGCATCGTCATCGGCACCCAGTCGGCCCCTTTTGTTCTACTTAAGTGCTTGGCTGTAATGATCGGGCCCGAGGAGCCACAAGGCCCCGCCAGGTGTGGCCCTGTAGAATTCATTACCCACGCTTAGCGTAGGCGAAGATGCTGCGCAAGGCTACCCGGCACCGCCAGCAGCTTTATCGAAAGGCCGGGAGATTCTTCAAGAATGACACGCCGCACGCTAAAGCCCAAGCCGGCCCCTGGAATATTTGAGGCGTGTGACATGGACGCCGGGGCGGTTGTGAAGCCCTTCCGCCTGGCTGTTCTTTGCCAAACGCGCGCGCCGCCCTTTCGGGTGGGAAGGTGGGGCCCCGCTGGGATGGGCAAAGCCGTCCCCGGTGCTAGTTTGGCGCACGGTCTTCTTCCTGTTGCTGTCTTTGTCACGCAAGTGACTGACCCCCTGAGGCGCTCGAGACCAAGCGGAGGCATGTTGGCCTGTCTGCTCGTGGGTGGGTGGTGTTTCTCCACAGCAGGCTAGTCCACCCGCCAGAGCACTACCACAAGCCGACTGGGAGTCGAAACTACCAGAAAGGATGGACACACTTGAGGAAACCTACGCACAGAGAAAGCCCGCGGCCCCTGTTCTAGGTAGCTGGGCGCGCGGGGGCTTGTAGCTCAGTGGCGCGCTGCCTGTGAGGGCGGAAGCTATGCCATGCGGCTGGCAGGTTGCCTCGCTTTGTGAATACTTAAAACGTACACACAGCCGAGCCCGTTTCAGTTGGCTGGGGCTTGGGACTTTTTGGCGAGCCCCGTTCCAGAGAGGGGCACCGTCGACGTACTCGCTTTCCTTTCTGAGGATGTCGCCGGGCTTCGCGGCTAGACTGTTTCTCGCTGGCTTGTCTCTGGTTCGGTCTCAGACCGGCGACAGCGTCAGCATCTACCTCGGGGCATATGCGACGCCTTTCCATCTGTTTCCTACTTAGGTTGTTCGTTGCCTTTCGCAGCACCTATCCTCTTCGCGTCGATTAGTTTTCCCCTTAGGCTGTTGCCCTTCGCGAAGTCTAGTCCTAGCCCATCTGTCTCGCCGTTAGTTTGCTTAGTCTTAAGCCGTTGCTCTCGCAGCATCTAGCTCTGCCAGTAGCCTTAGAGCTGTTGCCTTCACAGCGCCCATTCGATTCTGCTGGCAGTTTCCATAGGCTGTTGCTTTCCACAACGTCTAACTTCGTCGCCGTTAGTGGTTCCTAAGTAAGCCGCTGCCTTTCGCAGCGTCTGAGCCTACCGCTAGCCGCGTCATTGTAGGCTGTCGCCTTCCGCGGCGTCTATTCCCCCGCTAGTTTATACGCTTTTGGCGGATTGACTCCTCGGCGTCAGCGCCACCACCTATGCCGCAGCCTCTCTAGTGGTCATTTCCGTCCTTGGAGTAAGCTGCTTGCTTGGTTTTGGGTCCTTCATCTGGACACAGAACCAACATCAGCACCGAGGCAATGTAGTGGGAGGACCACTTCGCGAGATATTAAGAACGCAGCGGAAGAACATCAGAGGCACTAAGCTCAGCAGCAGCACCAACACCAGCACGATCGCGAACGAGATCAGCACGAGAATGAACGCGAGCAAGATCACCGCCGAGAACATGCTTAGGCTTCGCTTGATCTGCCTGCCGTTCTGTTCTGGCCGTGTTTAGCCTGTTGCCTGTTGTTCGCCGGGCACTTATTGAAAGCATACCGCTTGAGCTGGTTCGCCGTCTGTGCGTGTACTGTTGTCGTGTTTGGTCTGTTGTCCTTTGAGTTGGTTGACAGACTTGGACAATTTTCATTGTTTCCGCCATCGCTATCCGCCATCGATGGCTGTGCGCCTTTGACAGATAGCGAACACGCGGAAGACGTTGGCGACCGCACTGAGAACAAGAACGCACGCAAATGAATCAAGAACATTCCGAGCGTCAAGGTTTGACAGGTTTAGGGATTTGCGTAGGCATTTCATACAAAGAGAGCCGCAGGCTTTCCCCATGCTTTTCGAGCATTTCTCGTTCCGATTTGTTTAAGTGTTCGCGGCACGTGAAAAGTGTGACGGCGCGCGCATGCTGTTGCCGTTCGTCAATCATGTGACTGGGCTGAGTGGCTCACCCCGGTGGCCTTCTCCTGTTGTTGTGACCTTGATCGGGTTCCTCCTGATCTTCCTGCTCGTCTTCATTTTCATCATGGTAAGACCCAGAAAAGCGCCAAACTATGAGACTCACGAAGTCCATGGCCTTCAGACTCATGAACTATTTAAGGACACGCAGCCTTTTGGGATCTTCTGGCCGTATCATTTCCATCTCGTTTCCGATTATATACCCACACCAAGTGGTCGACGACGATCTCCTCGTCTACTGTTCCATCCGCCTTCTTTGAGCTTGCCACGGTTTTGCTATATCGGTCATATTTCCGCCGTGGGGCTTTGGATCTTGGGTCACCTTGTTCATTGTCGCCCATAAGCCAATGAGACTCGTCATATCTCCAGTCCATCTTTTCGCCCGACTTCGTGCAACCTGAGAGAGATAAAGGCGAAATAACACTGCGCCGCGCTTGCCAAGTAAATGGCTAATACTTCTGAGAACCCGACACAAAAATACTAGAGGTAGTAGGAAGGCCACATCACATAAAAGAGGAAGCAAACTTTTGACAGACTCAGAAATCGCCCACGCATCAACATTCACAACTAATCAGCCCAAATGATAAAAGGTCGCATAATCTTAGTACCTGTATGAAGCCAATTATTGGCAGCGCAATCGCTGAAGACATGTTTCAAAAAACCACTAAACTCTTTGTAATTTTCACCAGCGGGGTTCAGTATGCCACTGCGGAATTTGTCGTCTCCAGTTGCATAGGAGTTCGCGCCGAAGAACTGCTCTACTTGCAATTGGAAGTCTTTCCACTGATCTCCCACGACTCCAAAGGCGACCGCCTGTTTTGCACCACTGATGCCCATTTTTTGTCTGACAATAATTATAGTTATGATTATGTAGTCAGCTATTGGCGTGTACTATGTGGGCGACAGCTACTATTAAGGTGCTATAGTTCCGTCAGGTCCAGTCAGTACTTATTGAGTACTATGAAGGCGTTAGCGGTTCTTTTCTCACCCATTCTATCGCAAAACTTCTAACGACCTCGTAGTAGAGAGAAGAGCTCCTTGGCCCAAGACGGACTCTCGCATGGAGGCAATCGGTTGAGGAGCCGACATTTAAGGTCTCACCTTCGGAAGTTCGTGCTCGCTTGTGCTTTTCGCTTCATTTGCTTTCACTCTCAACAAAACTCTCGCCCGATATCCATCGATCAGATCCTGACAAGC